GCCCTTACACGAAACTCTTCACAGCCCTTACACGAAACTTAGGGCTCAGGGTTCAGGGTCTAGGGTTTAGGTTTGGGGGTTTTGGTTTAAGGGGTATAGGGGGTTAGGGCTTAAGGTTTAGGGTCACGAAACCCATAATAAAACCTCAAAGGAATGCTAAGCTGATTTCAGGTATGGGCTTGGCACCTCTCTGACGCCACCGCTGCCGTAGCTGATTCCGTGCTCGCTGCACGGCTGTGGCCACCTCTTACGACACTACACCACACTATGATCAACCTTGCAGTCCGACAGCTTATAGGTTCCAACAATCCTAGAAACACGCACACAGACGCACTGACACAAAGACACACCTGTCCACGAAGGTGACGCAGATCGTCCCCGAAACCGGCACGCTCCCAGCGCTGGGAGAAGCCACTCGAGCCTTGCGGTCAGGCGCATACGGACTGTTGTAAGCCCGAGGCTTTGGTGGGCTAGTAGGGTTTAGGGTTAGATGCCAAGAATCATCTGCCGCTACATGTCATGAACCATTTTCTAGGACTTCAAGTGTGCAAATAGCACCTACTTCGGGATCTGATGTCTACAACTAGTACCTACATATCCTGGGCTATCTGGAGCCCCAGGATTAGAGTAGTTGTCAGTCTTCTGGGCCTTCTCCTCAAGCAGTTTAGGGGTTTAGGGTTTAGGGTTTAGGAATCGGAACAATGTGTCCCCAACCCTCCCGAAACCGTAAACCCTAAACCTGTACTCCCTTGAACAGCTGAGGGCTCGAACGGAATGAACGTAGATCGAATGTGGGCCCTTCCCTCCTCACTGAGCGTTGTCTCTATAAACTGGCCTGCTTTAAAGGTGTAGGGCTCAAGGCTTTGGGTTCTGTACAGTTAAGGTTTATTCCCCTCAAAAAAACGCTATACTGCCTATATCCTACCTAAACCCTCAGAAACCTACCTTTTTCGGGTTCCATTGTAACTGATTTCCTTATATGAATCCTTAAAAAAAAAAGGTAAGTTAATTGTGGTTAAGGTAATCCTTAAACCCTAAACCCGAATGTGTTTGGCCAGTTGCTGCTGACGGCGCTGCCAAAGTCGTTGAAGCCTCGAGAATTCGAGGCTTCGGAGCCTTGAACTAAAGCTTCTCCAGAGACTCTAAAACCCCATATTTAAGGAGCGTACCTTAAAATATAAAATATAAGTATATAGGGGGGATGCTGCTAATGGTTTAAGCAGGATAATTCGGAATACCTACAGTTATAGGGGGATTCTGATTGTGAACTAAGGTATATTCTTGATTAAGGAGTTTTGGAATCTGCGTGTCGCAGGTATCAGCTCAGGCCTATCTACATCCTCTATAAGGCTGCATGCAGGTGATTTGCGGCATGCGCTATCCTGCGTGTATGCTTCGTTCTAAAGAAACGCCTCTTCTAGCCTGGAAAGGGGGAAAGGGAGCTGAAGGCGTCTTAATTGGAGGCGCGAGGGTCCCGGAATAAGTCGGCAAGATGCAAGGTGATAAAACAATACCAGTTTTGAACATATAATGTATACTCTTATAGCTAGACGAAGAAAAAACCCAAAGCACCTGTTCTAACTGTTTTAGGGCGCAGTAGTGTCGACCCTGGGCCCATGGCCGGGTTCTCGCGAGGTGGATCGGCTGCTCAGGGTTTCAGACAGACAGTATGCGGTTTTTTTTGGGGGGTTCACGGGCCAAGCCGTTAGAACAGGGTTTAGGGTCAAACCCTATACCCTGAACCGGTTGGGAGTAGATTATAGTACAGTGTGGGGGTTTTAGTTTTAACACTAACTATCAGTCCAGCAAGTGCTAGCAAAAGCCTACAGCCACAATGGACCAAGCCACTGCAACCTCTAAACCCGTACACCCTAAAAAGAAACTTAACCCTGAATCACACTAAACCTAACCCTCTTCCCAAAACCCAGCCTCAACCCGAAACTCAAAACGCCAAACCCGTGCTTAAAGCCTGGACCTAATCGTTTAAATGACGAACGTTATAGCAGGCTTCCCCAGCATATTTATTATGTCAAACGTTATAGTAGGGTTTCCCTAGCACATTTAATGTTGGTGCCCTCAACTTTCAAATCTGACCCTACCATATGGGCTCGTGCAAGGATACCCAAGTTCTGCCGGGCTGCGGAAACCGGACTCGACGCGATGACTCTCCTCTGGGATTGCACAAAATGCGCACTGCAGGAATGCATGGGGATTTCTAGGCTTGGGCTTTGACGATTCAGGGTTAGGGTGCAGAGCTTGAGGTGCTGGAATCTGCTCAACCTGCAGTTGTAGCAAGGGTAGTATTGGCAGGAACAAAAATGGCAGCGCAAAGGCAGGTTGAGCAGCTCCAAACAGTCCACCTTGAACCAAAGACCAACAAGAACAGCAGCTGAGCCGGAAAGGCAAACAAAAAGAGCTGTATGTTTGTATGTTCTGAAGGTGTGCTGGTTGAGGTGGTTATCTCGCAGGCCTTCAGTGTTCAGGATAAAGTTTTGCCTCGGAGGTCGTCGGAATCAGGAAGTCTGGAGTGTTGTGTTACGTTGCCCCAGTCGGATTTTAAGATCCTGACGGGTGCAAATGTCGCCGTCTACCCTTGTTTGCTGTGCCAGGGAGCAATCTCGCGTTCGTAGAGCCAGCGCCTCGTCTGTCGGATTCCCTAAACCCAAACCTCTTAATTATCGTACTACAGCTGAGAATAACCCTTATTGAGCCAAATTGTAACCGTAGCAGCTCCCAAAGCGGCTGCAGATTTTCCTCTGCAACCACGAAGCTCTAAGCAAGTGTATGACCGAACCAAAGAAAACAAAAGCCACGAAAGCTCCATCAGCCCCCAGACACCCAGAGCCCCCAATACCCGTTAACTAAGGAATAAACCTTAGATTACATTCGGGACCCTACGATAATTTGAGATATAATTCCTGATCAAGGGAATTGACTTGTAGGCTTTGGACAACTCTGGGGTTTGGCGTTGGGGGTCATTGGCTTAGGGTTCTAGGTTTGTAGTGTTTCAGGGCTGGCAGGGTTGCTTGCACTTTCCTTTGCTCTGGCGCTGTTTGGATTGAGGGCTTGGTACGGAATTGGGGCCTTTTGGGATGCAAGAATGACGCTAAGGCCCTGGACGTGTTGGCTTCGGGCTTGTTTATGGCTTTGGAATAACTTGGAAGAGTTGCACTTGAAAGTGCTTCATGAACCCTAAACCCTAAACCGCTGCTTAGCCAATCTGCAGCCCGTTCTGGCAACCACAAGTTTCCTTTACTCTCGAAACGTCAAAGAAGCTGTTCTGGGAGCCGCGCTTTGACTTGTGCCATGACTTTGCCTGGCTCAGATGTCTGCTGTTTAGAATTTCAGGCAGTGCCCGGTTCAACTGGTGCCTCAATAATTAGAATAGGGTTTTGGGGCCCAGTATACTATAGTTACGATGAGAAGCCTCCGAAATGGTATTGGTAACTATTTAAATCCCCTATATTAACAAACTGTTCTCAGGAATCTGGCATCCCGAACACAGGATCTCTGGATTCGTTTGCATGTCAGAGTGTGAGGTTCAGGATTAGAATAGAGTTTGGGGTACACTATACCGCCTGTATTAAAACCGCTATGCGAGGCCGCCACGGCAATACTGTTGCTGATTACTCCGTGCCACGTAGCCTGAAAGTCCTACAGCTTTCAACGCCCTCGAGCCAGGAACATAGTTATATAAATCCCACCTTAATCCCCAGCCTATGAATTCCAGCATCCCCAGCCCAAAACCCCTCAACAAAAAGGTAGGGCTTGAGCGATTAGGGGGAGGGGGTTTGGGGTTTCAAGCAGCCCTAAACCCAACTGTCACTTTTCGATGCCTCCTCAAGGAACACCTGCAGAAGGTGATCGGCAAAAGGCTCTGGAACCACGTTCGGCACGAAGGATACCGGCACCTCCATGACTATGAACTCTGCTTTGAAGGTTTGGGGCTTGGAGCCTGGGATTTGGGGGTTTAATGTTTGGGGTTCGATGGGCAAGCATGCGGGTGCTGTTTGGATTCAGGATCAGTCGTTCGGGGCAGTAGCCGAGTAGTACAGAGGCTTTCGTGTAAGAGCTCAGGCAGTTCAACCCGTTACCGCGGCGCCATGCGCTCGAGCTCGTCGATGGTCGTCACCTTCGTGGTAGAACCACCTCAGCTTCCACCTACAGTAAACCGCAACCCCTAAACCACTTCCCAACAAGTTCGAAAAGGCCAGGAGCCCACATGCCGACTTCAAAGCACCTACGTCGCGTTCAATGCTGACAGGTTAGACTCTGCTTGAGCTTAAGAGCAGGGTGTGGGGCTTAGGGATTAATTGGGCTTGCGGGGTTTAAGGGTTTAGGGGAAAGGTAGGGTGTGGAAAGACTGCAGGGTGGGCAGCTTGATTTGTACATAGGGAACCCGATGTTTTGATCAGCTCTGTGTCTGTGTGTGTGTGTGTGTGTGCAAGTGCCACGATGAGTTTCTGTGTATGTGCAATTAATACTGCATACTTCTTCTATTTATGCATAAGCTTCGGTACAAACACGCATTTACGTGCGCATGTGACTATAGACGAGACAAACTTCAATCGTGGAAGCATACAAGTAGATGCGAAGCTGTCTTGTGGCCACGACAGCATGCATGGAAGACTCAATGCTTTGGAATTCCAGGTCGGCACTGCTCTGTGGCACAAGCACTGTCTCTATTGCGATCTTGCCAATGAGACTGTGAAATTGCAGTGCCGGTGCGTAGGCACTTCGCAGAAACTGCTGTTATCTTTTTCAGCCTCGCATGATACACTGACGGACATGCTCAACTACACGCATGATGACTGCATGCTTATAATGAAATGGAGGGGGCTTCCGAAATTGTGTTGACCTGTGTCGCTCATCAGGACCGCCATCTGCTAGAATACTATTCAGTTTAACTGGGTCGTCGGCATCTTAAGCTTTCAGAAGCCACCACACGATGCCGGTGCATGTTATTGTGTCTCTACCGCCTGACCTGTTGCAATACATCATTACACCTGTCTCGGCCGCTGTCGAAGCTGATTGGCGATGAAGTAGAATCCTCCAGCTCCTGCAGCAAGGCCCTGCTGGATCACATGCAGAGGATAGTCCGGAGATGTGCCATGGTCATCCAGCCATCCGAAAGCAGCAAAGGCAAGACCGGTACCAATGAGGAAGACATCGACCTGACTAAACTGAGCCAGATCGACTTGGTATCGTTGGAACATGCGCTGCACACACCATGCAGCAATGCCGCCGCTAACTGACGAACAAAGGCAAAAAGCCCAAACGCTTGCTGTCTGCTTACTTGTGTGATCCTCCTCACAGCCTGGATCTTTGGACGCTTGCGCCGTACTTTCCCGGCCGCTCGCAGTGGAGTTTTGAGGGCTCACGTGATCCTCGAGACCAGGATGCTTGGACATGGACGGATGCACTGCATCTTTCGGCCCCGAGCCAACGTCCAGTCTCACACGAAACTCCATCTTAAAATCCAAGCGCGCGGACTGTAGAGACGGTAGTTTGCTGGGGGCAGAGCTGGTTTCTCGCCAGTTCGCAGCATTCACATGATCTGCGGGAGCTGTGCCCCGTGGTGAAGGCAGCACCTCAGCGCGAAGCTGATCCTGGGCTACGCCCAAGTCCGTGGAGCAGATATGGGCTCCTCGAACCGCTACCTGCTTCTGTGGTTTCGGGGCAGGAATGAAGGGGTGGACCCAGATTCGGGAGTCGAAGGGTCGTGCCATCACGATTGCAGAAGAAACCACCGTGAGCAGGACTGCATGCCGCTTTCCACCCATGGCGCGCGAGTGTGCAAGGGAATCCCACCTACAGGCTCGAGCAACAGGCGGCTGGACGGCGAGACGACGATGTGCATCATTTCGTAGCTTCGCTGGGTCTCATACGAGAGGGACCCTACGAAGTAAAGCCATAACTAGTGTTCACGATAACCCCAGGGTGGTCGCAAATTTTGCAAGCTATAAGCTCGAAACCCCAAGCCGAACCGACGCCAGCCTCACACTGTCCACTGGCTACAAGCAGAGCAAGCTTCAAAGAACGAACTGCAATCGCCAAGCCACCTTTGCCAGGACGTCCAGCAAGTGTGACCTGAACGAGCACAGCTCCTTTGTCCAACTTGGCCAAGCTCTCTGAAGCAAGGACCAATTCGAATAATATAAGTGTACATACATACATACATACATACATACATACATACATATATATATATGTATATATATATATATATATACGTACACAAACAACTATTCACACATGTATACATATGTATATATATATATATATATATATATATATATATATATATATATATATATATATATATATATATATATATATATATATATATTTATACATATATATATATATATATATTGTATATTGTATATTGTATATTGTATAGATGTATGATACGAATTTACTATACAGATAGCAATCTCGTATATCAGAATCCCAACCTGCACAAGTAGGGAAGGGTGCCGTACCATATCGGGGACCTGAAAAGAGACCCTAATTTTAGGGAACTACTCATATCCCCGAAGCCCTGCATCTCTAGGTGGCTTCTTCCGAGAAATAAACCAAGGGACTGAGACATGTGAGCGGGTCCCGTAAACCCTAAACCCCAAGTCACTGAGCCCCTAAACCCGAAACCGCAAGCATATCTGCATGGTGCTTTGAGCCGGCAAACGACCGATAGCCTGCATCAAAGAAGCATCCGCTTGTTGAGTTGAGCTTAGACGAATGCCGATGCTTCAGGGCTTCAGGTTTAGATTATAGTTCAGGGCTGATGCTTTTCAAATCTTCATGCAAAAAAAGTACATTCGGGCGTCCCGGGGTTCCAGAAATGGTTTTGGGGTACCTTATGGTATACTTATAATCAGGAGCCCTAAACCATCGGGAACCTTCGGATCCACATGAGCGCCCCAGGAAGCGAGCCGCTAGTAGATTCTCGAAGATTAAAGCTGTACGACTCCAAAGTCACCTTGTGGCACTTTGCTCATAAACTCTTCCGACACCCCACATGTGGGCAGAGTGCCGGGCGAACACGTCGACATCTTGAGCAGAGCCTGTTTCCTGCCAGCATGGCTGGGAAGCAGCAGGGCTTCAACTTCGATGTCTCGTGTTGAGGATCAAAGGGAAACGCCTCGGCCCTCGCGTTATTTCTAGCTTAACCCCGGAAGAAGTCTCTTGAAATGTCACATCTATCTATCCGCCTCGCTGCCTTCGGCTCAGCCCGCGGCCAGGAGAGCTTCAGTGAGTGCTTCAAAGTGGGTTCAAACTCTTACGGTAACAGGTAAGGTGAAGGGCCTACTAGCAATATGGTTGGGCTCAACGTCGGACAGTAACAGGTACCAGAAAAGACCAGAAATCCCCTCATTGAGGGAACAGTTACTTTCGGATTCGAACCATTGAGACTTCAAGGATTCGTGTGGCATCCGACCGCAGAATTGCGCCACCCAAGTCCAAACAGAAGAAGTCAACAACTCAATTGTGCCCTAAACCCAAAACCGTCCCTGAACCCTAAGCCCTGAATCTGGAAGCCGAAAGTACGACCGTGCGTGTAAGAAGAGGTCAGTCCGAGACATACGAACCACAACACGGCAACTGAAAGCTGGCAACGGTTCAGGGTTTCCGGGAATCTGGACTGCTATCCCCTCACACCTATCAACCCTGGTTCTCACCACTCCAAGTGCCGCAAGCCATGACATAGACACATATCAAAACTCCACGACAACCTGGCCTTTCCGGCCGAGTCTGCCGCTAGGGGCTGTGCCGGAGGCTGAAACCTGATTCTGTTAATATCTAGAATCTAGAAGGAAAACGTCCTAAACTATGCTGTAAGTTCAAGTTCAAGGTCTGGAGAGCCTACTGTAGGACTTCTAACTTCTGCAAAATCAGCTTTGGTGGCGACGCACTATACGGAACTAAACCTTCTCCTCAGCATCAAGAGCCCTCTAGTGGAGCACGCGGTTCATGGGGCCTACGCAGACGGAAGGGACTGTGGACAGTTGCCCTGGGTTGTGTAGGCTTAATGCGGTGACCTGAAACATTGGCATTGGACGAATAGGGCTTTGTGGAAGAAATTATACGTATAGGGACTCTAATGGGATACAACCACTAATTATGTGTATTCAGCCAGTGTATTCAGCCTTATAAAGCCTTTGTCAAACTATAGAACCCTACTCGACTTCGTAAGGACCCTAGCTTATGCCATCCGAGATGCATGAAGGACGGTACAGGCGGCCGCTTGACCCGCTTCCGGGGCACAGCTGCCTCGATGGATTCTTGATTTTGAGGGCTGTGGGTTTGAGGTTTATATAGGGTTTATAGGGTTTATACGGGTATCGGGTTTACAGGGTTTCTGGTTGAGGGTTCATGTCCTGCTGTTGGGGAAAAGGGCTCATGACTGAAAGATATGAGGCGTTCTCAATAGGCCCACGATCCTTCTCCCACAGCCTCATAATTCGTGTTGAAGGCATGATGCCGGCTTGCAAATGCCTGTGTCGAGCACATACTCGTGGGCTGCGGGTGTGCAAAGTAATCCCGCTTGCAAATATTATATAGGAGAAGTGAATCTGTGAGGACGTAAAGATTCAGTTGACTTCGTGAGCAAGAAGAAAAAAGATGGGTTATTGGGATGGGGGTTACAAGCCTAATTGCTATTCTCCGCGGTCAACCTTTACTAATGGTTGATGATATAAATCCTGCATTACCTTAAGTACCCTAAACTATGGGGATTATGGTATATTCCTTAATATGGGTAATGCAGGATTTATATCATCAACCGTAATGGTATGGATCATAGAAACTCGAACTGGCTAAAGAGTGACCACTCAGCCAGAAAGTCAGGGATACTAAGTGGACATACTAGGTCGTAAAACCTTCACATCATTAGCAATAGTATTCCTTTCAGATTCCCATTGGGTCCAAAAATGCCTTTCTGGTAGAATGTCGGGGTTTCTGTATCTATTCGGAATGACTAGTATGATTTGGGGAAGTATCCCCCATAACAGTACCTAGGACCCTTTGGGGTTTCTTTTATACTTATAGCAAAGTAGCCCCCGAAGCTCTATTCTAATTCCTACAACCCCAGCAGAAGCCGGGATGGCCTTTTTCTCCACCGATGTGTCGGGAGTGGTGCCTTGGCAAGGAGTTAGGTTTTGGGATTTCGGCCTTTCTTGTTTAAGTGCAATGGCTCCTTTCACTCCACAGCTCAAGGATCCTTCCTGGTGCAGGCTTGAGGTGTTTAGGCTTTTGTAGAGATTTGTTCATAAGCACCCTTTTTCTGTCTGCACTTAGAAGGGTGAGAGTTTCTTTCATAAGCACCCTTTTCCGTCTGCACTTAGGAGGGTTTTATTTCATAAGCATCCTTTTTCGTCTGCACTTAGCAGGGTGGAAGTTTTTTTCCATAAGCACCATTTTCCGTCTGCACTTAGCAGGGTTAAGGTTTAGGGTTTGGGTTTACGGGTCAGGGCGTAGGAAGTGAGACGCTGACTCTCTGCGCATGCGCCTCTGCTCACAGGAGCTTAAACTCTGCAAAAACATACACACACACACAAAGCCTCAGATTGAGCTTGCTCATTCCTTGACTTAGAAGCCCCATCTTCATCATCATGCACATCCGATGCATCCGTTGACTCAGCCGCCTCCTAATGCCTCACCTGCATGTTCACACCAGATGATGCATGTTGGAAGCCAAGGTCTCTGAACAGAGAAACCTCTTACCTTGTGTCCGGAGTCTGCAGCTGGCAGCAAACCCGCCCTGAACCCTAAACTCTGAACCCTCAACCCTCAACCCTGAACCCTATAAACCCTAAACCCTGAACCCAAAGCCCTGAACCCTATAACCCTAAACCCAACCGAGCCCACCGCGACTTCTTGGTTTTGGCCATGCAATGCTGGATCTCCGGCTGCGCTTGCGGATCGTCGGCAGCGCTGGTGGAGGTCCTGCCGAAAAGCAAGGTGAAGATGTGGCAAAGCTTGAGTGACCAATCCATAAGAGAAATATTGCAAACAAGTGAGGGAGGACTTCAGGAAACAGTGTTATTACATGTTCTGGTCCTCTACAAAACCGTATAAAACCTTCCAGAACCATCGTTAAAGCCCAACAGACGATCCACAACCTTTACAAAACAAGCAACAGCACTCTCTGGAACCAAATAGCTCACTATGAGAACTTAAGCTGCCTTTCCGCTTGCACCCCCTCCATAAACACAAATGCACAAAAACCCTTATAGAACCACAATCCACCCTTTGATTTTGTGGGAACTTAAGCTGCCTCCCCTCGTAAACCGTAAACGCTAAGCCCTGTAAACCTTAAGCCCCGCACCCTAATCCCAAACCAAAAACCCTAAGCTTAGGAAACCTTCCTTTCTAGGGTTCCTCATGATAATTGCCTTATATATATATATATATATCCTTAAAAAGATAGGGTCATTTGAGGTCTAGCTACGCTCTATTATCGAACCGGCCTGGTGGCTCCTTTCGCTTCGGGGTTTCTGGCGCTTGCGGCGCGCTAGCCTCGTCCTGCTGCTCGGATTTTGCTACTCTGAGCTTGGGAAGGGTTGCCAAAAGGGCCCTAAGTAATGTCTGGGCCTTAATACTCACCTATACTATTTTTTCGGGGGAGTTATCATAACCATTGTGATTAACTGACTATAATACAGTAGGCCCGAAAACCCTACTCTACTTACTAAGTCGCATGATCCTCCAATACTATTCCTGTCTAAATGCCTTTCCACGTACACACGGTAAAGAGAAGGCTTGGGGCATGAAGCGGTGAACTTAGGACAGGCTCTGCGGCTCTCTGTGCCTTTGGGCGGAGTTGAAAGTGACCGAGCACAATGCTTACTCAATGATTCAAAAACCCAAGCAGCCGACTGCATGATTCTAAAGAGGTGTCTCTCTGCAATCATATCTGCTCAAACTCTTGCAAACCCGCGTGCCCGCAATCCATCCCCGGGTTTGCATCGGGCCTCATCTGAGGAAATCTCCAACAAAGGATTCAACAGCCTCAGCGACGTTGCCACAAAGGGGCTCTGGGATGCAAAACTCAGCCCTAAACCCAGATGTCTCAGGAGACTGCGGCTGGCGCCCCCACACTTCAGAGCATCCATGCCCCCCCCGAACCTTAACAAAGGGGCCTGAATGGCTTGAAGTGTCTGTATTCCTTTTCATTATTGAAAAAACTGATTCAGGCTCTCACATTATGCGCTTTAGTTCCTACCTACATCGTCTCTGACAGACCTCTGTTCCAAGCTTTTCCGCTTCCTGAACCCTCAGACGAACCCCTAAGGAGTCCAAGACATCTATAGACCTACCCTAATATGCAACATCCTGCCGGTGCAAGCCCGACGTGCCATTCAACATCTGATGGGATCGGGGCCTGGGGTTTGGGCTCTGACATCGCAGCCTCTAACCCAGAACTGCAACAAGCTGTTGAAACCACATGTGGGCGGGCTGGGGTGGGCTTCTTGCTCCCTGCTTCTAAGGGTTTCTAGGGTATTGAAGGATGCCTACCGAAGTCCAACGTCAAGTCTGCATTGTGGCCAAGGGGCGGATGTATGTCTGCACCATACTCCTGCTTTCGGTTTAGGGCTTCGGGTTCAGGGGGCAGGGTAGGTCACGGACAGGCAGCGATAGAAGGTGGCAGCGACGATTCAGGTGCAAAACACAGCTTTCAAATCCTAGCCTTCGAAAACCCTTAAGCCCTCTAACCCCTGTTTCCCATATATACTCAAACCCCTAGACCCCGCAATAAACCAAATGCGCTGATCTGTGAATCGAGAGACAGTGCTTGAAGACCGCAGCAAGACCACGGAAGCTCCAAATACGTGCCGGAAAGCTCAGAAGCCTAAAGCCCTGCGGTTCCTGGTTCAGGCTGAAGCGTGTCGGGTTTGAGGGCTTGTTAGTTAGGCTTATTCGGAGCCCCCTATGCAATACGTAACCCTGATGGTAGAAGCCAGAAAGTTGGAACATTAGTATCCTCATGCCTTTAAGGTAAAGGATAAGGGATCCTAGCACTAATCCTTCTAAACTCACCTTCCAACTTTCTGGCTTCTACCGTATGTCCTCGCCCTCAGGAGTGATCTGCACACCTGCGACTCCTAGCCTAATTTTCGGGAAGCTTCGAGGGTTTGAACCCTAAACCCTAAACCCTTGCGGATCTTGGGCTTCTGGTGTTCGAAAGAACTCGGGTTTGGGATTTAGGGTTTAGGATCCTGCTTTCCGATTTCAGTAAGCTTCGGAGGGAGACGGCTCCTTCGGTGACGATCCCGTGCACGGCATCGCTCAACATCCCGTCGGTCAAGATATCCTGAACCCTACACCATGAACCCTGAACCCAATAGTTGCCCTAAAGTTCAAAACACTTCAAAACCCTAAACCGTAATATCCCCTAAACCCTAAACTTTACACCCTAAGCCCCTTAGGGTTTGATTCCTGCAGAGGTTTTGGTTCCAGTGTGTCTCTTTGGGTGAGCCAGTTTGCGGCAGAGCTTTGGGTTTGAGGGCTTCGGGTTTAGACTTCATGGTTTAGATTTAGGGTTTAGGGTTCTCGGCTGAGTGCGAAACGGCTCAGGGTCTACACGGGTCAGGGTATAAGGTTTAGCAGAAGCTTACGGGGATAGGAGCTGTGTCGTGGCTGCTTGAAGCTTGCGGCGACGGTACGGGCATACCCAAAACATCGCAAAACAAATGTTGGCTCATGCACGGCTGTGATGGCTGAAATTCCCACACAGTGCAGCTGAGGCAGATGGCAGCACGAGCATTTTGAACTAAGGGCACACGCAAGTCGAGGCCACGTCTTTGAGAACACGTGGTGATTTCACATGAGGGCTTCGGCTTGGTGTTGGGTCGCCGTAGCGGTTTCCAGAGACATCCAGGGTGAGAGGTTCCGGAGGGGAAGATGATGGCTATGTGTATCCCCAAACCCTACAAAATAGTAGGTTATGACCCCTGTAGTTAGTGGGTAGAACCCTTAAAAAGGGTAGGTCTTCGGATCCCAAGCTACAAACTGCACGTGCTTTCTTTCTCTCCGTGTCTCTCGCCAACTGCTTGAGGAGACGTGTGTCGGCTGGTGCTTCTGTGTCTGGTTCTTAGTAGGGAATGGGGGAATGGGTTATGGTGACTATTATGGACATTATATTGGGCATTATATAATGACTACTATAGGGATCCATTCCCCCATCCCCTACTAAGCACCAGACAGTTCTGTGCGTGGTCGTGCAGAGCCATGTGCTGACATCCATGCATGCTGGCATGGCCACGGCATCAGGTCAAGCGTGCCTATATGGCTCATTATGACAGATATCCGCATGGGGGTCAAGCCTTGTGATGTCGTGACGGTGTTCGCATCGTCGTTCTCACGAGTGTTGCAAGCAATCTTGCTCGCGCTAACAGCGTAGGAGGGTGAGTTGTGGGCCTGTGGGCATATAAGCTGTTTGCAGGAAGTGTGGGTGGTGCGAGGGCGCAGGAACTGGTGGGTTAGATGATGTCCTTGCTAAAAAAACCTTCTGGTATGCTCACGGTCTCCGGAAAATGTGCCGATGAAGCTATATTAATCGCATTCCTAGACGCTAAAGCAGATGAGAAACCACCAAGCGTGACTGGCACCCGAAGCTGCCATGTTCGCCTGAGTCTGCCAATCGTCGTCGGCTTGCAGGAAATGTTGCAATGCCCTGGTGTACACATGCTGGTCCACTCCATCTAAAACTCACTCTTCTGACGATATGGAGCTTCGGGTGGACTACGAGCTACGTCGTGAAATAAAGCGATCACAGCGAATCAGGCGCGCCGCCTGCACTGGGGCGGGCGACACAGAGGAGACCCTCCCGTTCCAGTTTCAACTTGCTTGCCCTAAGGGTCCATGTACCCGGATAAAAAAAAATATATATATATATATATATACATGTATAATTATACATATACATGTGTTGGCCCCAAAGTACCTATATCGGGATTACTTCAATTGAAATGTACATGCTAGATGAGCACATGGGCCCTTAGAGTTCTAAACCAAAAGCAGGAGAGGTACTGTTCCAACCATGACGACCCTTAATGACAGCCATGTTTTCAATGTAAACCTTAAAGTCCAAGTGAGACCTGAAAACGAAGTCCGTTGCAACTTGAGGACGAGACGAGGAGCGTGAGCTGGAAGCTTTCACCGGTTTCGGACGTTGAGGGCTCAGGGCCTTGGGGTTTAGGGCTTTATATGGTCTTGGGGCTTTAAGGCTTCATATCTATAAGCCCAAAGCGCTAGGCCCCAAATCCTCAATTCTTGAACATGGAACTGATATTACCTCAATCTGTATACATCCTTATATCCCTTCACATCCCTAGTTGGAGCCTTAAAAACGGTACCAAACCCTCAGCACCCTTGTAAAACCCTAACCCCGAAACCCGAACCCTTTCGGGGCCTAGACCCTAACGGCTGCCCTCATAAACCCCCATTGATCCTAACGAGCCTAATCCCTGAACACTTCACCCTTACAAACCCCTAATGGGCCTAAGCCCTAAACCCTAACCCTTTTCCACCCTTGATGCTTGCCCTGCCCTGGTGATCCTACGTTATGGGCCTAAACCCTAAACTCCAATACCCTTGTAAGCCCTGACAATACCCCTACACCCCTAACCCTTCTACAACCCTAATGGGCCTTTTGAACCCTAAACTCCAAAACCTTTATAAGCCCCTATAAAACCCCTACACCTCTAACCCTTTCAAAAACCTCATGGCCCAGAGAACCCAATATCCCTTAATAAGGAATATACCTTAAATGAGATTAGGGATCCTACCATAATTTAAGGTATATTCCTTAATTAAGGGGTATTGGGATCTCTGAGGGCCCCACCCTCGCCTTCCGCTGCTCCTCCGACTGCGCCCAAGCTTGGCAGGTCGTTCCTTCTTCTGCAAGGCCGGAAAACATCCGGGCTTTCTTCAGAGTTTTAAAGGGTTTAGGGAAAGATCAGGGGTTTAGGGCTTATAGGGCCGGGTCTAGATGGGGTTTAGGCTTTTGTGGTTTAGCTACTGTAGTTTAGCACTAGAGCTCTAGCATTAAACGGCATAGGGCTTTGCGGTTTTCGGAGTTCAAGGTTTCGCAGGTGTATTGTAGAGTCTACCTGAGCATCGACTCGGGGAGCTCCCTGATCCTAAACCCTAAACCCTAAACCCTAAACCCTAAAACCTAAACCCTAAACCCTAAACCCTAAACCCTGACTCGGGGAGCTCCCTGATCCCAAGGCCCCTACAAGCACTAGGCCAATGATCTGGGATTTGTGCACCTGGCTTGGGGAGTTCGAGATTTTGGGGCGAGGGCAAGGAACTACGGCCAACGTCTCACAGGTGTGTCGATGGAGTTTTTTGGCTGTTGATGCCAATTTAACGGTTGAGGGGTGAGGAGTTCGGCGGGAACCCCATGATTACCAGCAAATAACAGCAGCAACCTCCGCGTGAAGAGGCAGCAGGCTCAGCATGCAAACTCCACCATTACGCTGAGAGGACAAGAGAACAATGCTATCCGTCGAAGCATCAGGACCTGGACCTAAACTGGCGAAGGTCGCCTGGAACCACGAAACATGAATGAAGGGAATGAAGTTTCAATCGTGGCACCTCATGTATCACATTCGTCATTCATTCATTGTAGGTGCACGGCATGTCTCTCGGTGAGCTTTAAACTGACTGGGTTCTGGGACCCCGTGCAAGAATTCGTCGAAGTCATCTTGAAACGGTGCCGCCACGGTGGACGGCGCAGCTGCTTCTTGCACCTGAAGCACGATCAGTGAGTTAGGGTTTCGTCGCTTAGTAACTCTATAACCCTAAACCCTAAACCCCTAAATCCTGAGCCCTAAACCCTAGGGTTTAGGGTTTAGCGTTTGCAACAGAAACGCAATCGGGAGATTCGGCTGGCACCCTGAACTGATGCTTCAGCAAGGACTCAACCAAAAGGCTTCTTCACGAGCTCGAAATTGCAACAACAGAGGCTGGAAAGTGCGACAATTGCGAGGCCCCTGTATGCCGAAGCCGTTGAATCCCAAACCCGAAATCAAAGAAAACCCACACCCCAAAACCTTCAAGCTGCAAAATCCCATGTCGTGAAAACGCTACGGAATAAGCCCCCTGCGGAGGCTGCCACGACGGGCGCCGCCACCTCTTCTACCGCTGGCGCTGGCACGGCCGTCGGCACGGCTGTAGGCACGGCTTCGCCGCAGCTGTCGAGAAAAGTCCTGCGGATTTGGGTATACTGTAGGGTTTATGAGGCTTAGATTCTAGTTATGACGTAGTAGGATTGAGGACAGCGGCACATGGGCGTTGTTGTCTTTCATGACCGAAAAGGGAACTTTTCTGTAGAATAGCACTGGAAACCTCTATCAAACCTGCACAACCCTAGACAAAAACAAATCGTGGAGAAAAACTAATTTAGCAAATCAGTTGCAGTTGTATCTTGGGCACATCCTGGCAACATAGGATCGACAAACGACGTGTCTCCCAGTGTCCAGAACATACAATCCTCAACCTGTTGAAGCTGAGACCCGCACGAGAAGCCGAGCAGTGACTGAATGAGGGCCTTCAGTCAGGATTGGGTTTAGGGTTTAGGGCTTCGGGTCTAGGGCGGCGTTCGGGTTCAGAGTGGGAAGAATTCAGGGTTGAGGGCATGTAGGGTTAAGCGCGTGTAGATGTGTTGGTGTGGGGTAGGGTTGGAATGCGTTCATATATATATATATATATATATACACACTCTCTATACACACAGACAGCATGTGGCTACCGGCCAACTCCAGACAGGGTATCTTCGGTCCAGTCAAGCGGCAATTCAAACCGAAACCTCCAACAGATAGGATGAGCCCCAAACCTAAGGGAGCTTTGTTAAGCCGAACGCGCACCAACAAGGCACTTTAAACCCTAAACACGGAACTGCTATCCCTAATAATAGTAATAATAATAATAATAATAGCGATAAAAGTAATAATGGAAATAATCGAAATAATCGTAATAATAGTCATAATAATCCCTAAAGCATGTTATCTTGGTAAGTTGGCAGCGCCTGCACCACTCCAGCCACGTGCTCACGCGCACGAGCCTGACACTCGCCCAAGAGTTGAAAGCATGAGGGCTGGCAGTGATGATAGTATATTTTGAGATCATCATATAACTCTATAGTCTATATAGCATGATACAATACACTGCAACATACTATAATGGCATAATTAATGTAGCAGCAACCGGATTAGCGTCTAGGGTTCTACTGATAACAATGCCGGTGATCGTGTTGATGCTCAGCACATCTAGGTATCATGACGGAGTAGCTCTCAACTAGCAGCAAGCCCGCTGCTAAAATAACTCAAACCCTGCACGAACTGTGCTTGCCGACACCGATCGAAACCACTCAACACCCTGCTTGTGCATCAACCGCGGGCGTTCATGGGTAAAACCGCGGTTCATGAGACATTAGTACAGTGTTCCCCCACATATTTAGGATTTCGGGCGAAAGCTTCAGAAGCAGAAGGTGAAACAGTGGGCCGAGACCAAAACGACAACCCTTTAAACGCAAACTGTAATTAAACCTGCAAAAACCCTAATGCAACCCTCATGGTAACAATATCGTTCGTAGTGCCTGTGCCTTTCTGAATTTCTGCATAAAGTATGCCCCCACACCCCCTGCCCTCTAAGACTATACTTCACTAAAGCCGGTCAGACACTCCCTCATTACCTTCGTTTGTGACCCTCAGCCCGCTAAACCGCCCCAGAAAACCCGTCAAAACGCCGGAGCGCAGCGAATCCTCAGCCCTTGGCAGCAGTTGCTGGCGGGCCCTAAGGACAAAAGCACCCCAAACCCTAAACCCTAAATGCTAAGCCCCTAAGGACAAAAGCACCTCACACCCTAAACCCTAAATGCTCAACCCCTCAAGACAAAAAACACCCCACACCCCAAATGCTCAACCCCTATAAAGACAAAAAACACCCCAAACCCTAAACCCTAAATGCTAAAACCCCTGAAGAGCACCCAAAACCCTAAACCCTAAAAACCACTAGAGACAAAAACACGCGAAACCCTAAATACTCAAACCCCTTAAGGTCAAAAGCACCCCAAACCCGAAACCCTACATGCTAAACCCCGTAAGGACAAAAGGCACCCCAAAACCCTTTAAACCCTAAATGCTCAACCCCTGAAGAGCACCCAAAACCCTGAACCCTAAATGCTCAACCCCTATAAAGACAAAAAACACCCCAAACCCTCAACCCTAAATGCTCAAACCCCCTAAAAGACAAAATCGACAGTTGCTTGCGTTCGGGCCTCGGAGTCAGCGCTGGTTTTCGCTTCCAACAGCCTCGCAGCTTTGACCAGCAGAACTCTTGGGTACCTCCTGGTTACCTTAAGGGCTCCTTTAAGAGATCTTAAGGGTTGCACCTAAACCCCCAAAAGGTAGGTGAAACAATGGCCCAAAAAAACCTATGGAAGGCTACAATATTATTCTACATACTTTTGGGGATCCAGGCATGGCTCTTGGATGATATGGTTTCTGAAGGTCTTTACTAGCGACGCTTCTAGGGATTTGGGGTTAAGGGGATATAATGAAGGATAGAGGCACCGCCAGAACCCCCTCAGCGGTTGGGGTCTCGAATCCGTCAGAGCGATCGTCCTAACTAAATTAATTTCAGTTTCATCAACAAGGTGGTTCCTTACAGTACCATAATCTAGAACCGAATCCCTACTACATCTCAAGGACGGTCCCTTGACCAATGGTCCCTTGCAAGCCCCAACTTGGGTTCCCGAAGCGCAGAACTCCAGCACGAAGCATGTTAGACAAGTTCGGTACGATGATGATGATGATGATGATGATGATGACATTGGTGTTGATGGTGGTGATGATGACGACGACGACGACGATGGTTTAGTGTTGCTGATGGCTGTCGGCCACGGTTGTTGGAGATGATGCGCAGGGGTTGGTGGTGCTGGTGCTGGACTTGGTCTTTGGTGGTGATGGTGGTGGTGCTGGCCACTGGTATCATGTCTGCGTTCCTAGATTGCCAGGGTGCATCTTGATTTCGTCTGATCGTTCCGCGTCCTCGTCCTCTCCTTCCCACGTGCTACTCCGACGACATCTGCTACTACTAATGTTAACCGCTACCGTCACCATCAGCATGGTCGTGGTACTTCGTGGTACTTAAGGGCTCATGGGACTTAGTAATTAATGGTTGCAGTAGAATGTAATTAGGATAACCCCACTTAGGGCACTTATGACCCCAATTATAACCTGCTTACTAAGTCCCATGACCCTCTCAGAAGTGGTGACTTTGAGGATGGTATAAGCATCATCGGTGCTTCGTTCTCCCCTGCATCCCTGATGCTGTCGATGATTGGTTCGTAAGCCCTAAACTCTAAACTAAATCCCAACAACACTCCAATACCGCCCACAAACTACATCATCCCATATACATCAAAACACCAAAACCCAAGACGCCACAAAACCTTAAACCCCAAAACCCTAAACTCCAAAATCGCAAACTCCAAAACTCCTAAACCGGGTGCTACCGTTGGCGGCTGCGCCCTCTGATGCGGACCCCATGCTCTTAGGACTGCGCTTCATAGCCAGATTGTGCTGGTCCTGCAGGCGAGCCAGTGCTGTTTTGAGCTTTATTAGCCTTTTTTTTTTGGAGGGGGGGGGGGTTTAGGGTTTAGGGTTTAGTAGCCTTTAGGGTTCAGGGCTCCGGAATGGAAAACAGCCCAACTTGAGGGCTTTCTCGCATCCTCATGATAGAGCACACCCTTTGCAATCGATCGAGGCTTCGATCTCCGATGGCGCCTTGTCAGATGTCACTTGGAGGGTCGGGGGACTTAGTAAGTAGGTAGTAAGTAGACTTATAAGTACCCTAAAAGGGACCCTAATTGGGGTTATGGTACTTATAAGTCCTTAAAATATTCAGTTACTAAGTCCCCCGACCCTCCTAGCAGGAGCTTTTGCTGAAACAACACTCTCTTATCAAGCCGTGCGTCGCAGCTCAGACGTTTACATCCAGATATTGCCCGAGCCGTGGCCCAAGGACCTAAACCTCTCAAGGCTTACAGAGCCACAAGTTAGCTCCATATGAGCGGAGGCCGAACCCAAAGCTGTGACTCCAGGAGACAGGATGTAAATGGAACGTCGAGACAACCGTTCACACCTGGGTGATGTAGGCCCCGTTTCCCTCCATGCAGGTTGCGCTATGGTGACTCCAAGACAAAGTATGAACACCGGGCTTCGGATTCAGCGGAGGTCGCAGCACCAATACGAAGCCTGTTGACAACTCTGAAGCCCCAACCCCAACAGCGACTGTTACGCCATAACTGAACATAGGCTTTGAACACCAATCCTCATGCCCTAAAGCTGCGACAACTAAGCATACAACCTCTACGGCACATCACTACCAAGCCCCGGAAGCTACAGAGAACACATGCGATCCTCGTCGAGATTTCGCTGCTTTTCCAGCAGCCGCTGCCAACCCGCGTGCTGCTCCTTGCTCTTGGGACTCGTCAAAAGTTTTGGCTTACATAGAGAGAATGTAAGCGCTATACGAGACACACAACCAGAACACTGTCACTGTTACTCGCATAATACTATCGTTGAACCAGCCGCAACTCCCCAGACAAGACAAAGAACAAACCTTGAATTGTTGGTTAAACCCAAAAGTTACGAGTCATTGCTGTGTGTTGAATCATTGCTGTATGTTCACCAAGTCTCTGAACCGCCGTACTAAAACCCAGCTACCCTTAGATCCAAGCGAAGAAAAAACGAAAGAGACACCCCTGAAACAAATGAAGACTGAGTAAGGGCCAGAGAGAGAGTGAGAAAGAGAGAAAGTGAGAGAGTGAGAAAGCGAGCGAGAGTGAGAGAGTGAGAAAGAGAGAGAGTGAGAGAGTGAGAAAGAGAGAGATTGAGAGAGAGAGAGAGAGAGAGACAGAGAGAGAGAGAGAGAGGAGAACCGAATCATCAAAGGCGACACAACAACTTAACACATGTTCACCGGAACGGGGCGTGGGGAAAACGAGAGAGGCGACAAGATTTCACAGTTAGAAATGAGAAAACTACTGAGACAACCCTCAGAACAAAAACTCAGCAGAGAGCCAAGGAGTGAACCAGAACCCATAGTTGCAACATAAGAGACGAAGGAGGCGACGAGGGCAGAGAACAAATGAGAAAGTGTTGAACAAGAAAAACAAAGCAAACACGACAACACAGCAACACCTGAACCCTAATCAAACCCTTCTTTTACCATTTTCCCCCCTAAACCCTAAACCCTGCCCCATCAAAGCTGTCATGGCCCTAATTAGCAACTGTAGACACATCTGCACCTGGATCATTGGCTGCAGCGCAGAAAGCTGTGCCTGCCAAGGAAGGAATTCAGAAGGTTCTGGCAGTTGAGGCGTTTCGGGATTAAGATATGAGAGAACCTCGCCCATCAGGCGACCCGAAACTGTCCAATGGTTGCACAAGCTCTTTCCCAACCATGCCGCTACGACAAGTTGAGGCAGCAACGAACTGGTCGCACTCAAGGAACATCACACACGTAGCCAAGATTCTATGACATTCGCCAAAACAACGGCGAAGCCCAATCAGACCACACGCAGACTAGAAGCCCAAAGCCGCAACCCCAAGTCCTATAGCCCTAATGGGAACTCCAGAAAGTTGGAATATGGATTAATGGTGGGATTCCCTGTGATTTACCTTAAAGGGGTTACGATAATGATATTCCAACTTTCTGGCTTCTACTGTAACCGTAAAGCCCGACACCCTTACCTGAACCAGGCCATCAACTCTAAAAGCCTGAACTTAACCCTAAGCCTAAAAGCCCTACAACTCTCCAATCCTACAACCCCACAACCCACTGCAGCCTTGGCGTCCCTTTCCACGGAGGCCAGGCGGCTTGAAAGGTTCGAACTGTGATCCTGGGTGCAGGGATGGAGGTTTGGGGTTTCAAGGGCTCAAGCTTGTCAGGCTTTCAAGCTCAAAGTGCCCAAATCGGTTTAGTTTACAGGGAACTCCAGAAAGTTGGATTATGGTTTCATGGTAGGATACACTATAACTTACCATACAAGGGTTAGGATAATCATATTCCAACTTTCTGGCTTTTACCTTAGGATGTTGAGGATGTCAAGGGTCTAGGCCGTGCTGCTTGGGGTTTAGGCGTTGGGTGCAGGTTGTCGGGTTTTGGGCTTGGGGCTTCAGTACTCCGGATTGTGGGACTGGCGCGCATGTGTCCAAGTCCAAAGCTTGAGCTGAGGGTTCGAACGAGTCATTGTGAGAATTTAGGGCATAGTGTCATAGTCATCATTCACAGCATAAGACCCTCATCATCATCATCATCATCATTCTCATCATGCTCATCACCATCACCACCACCATCACCAGCGTCGCACGTATGGCCATGGCTTTCATCAAGTCTGCATCAGCTGACACACCAGGCATTACTCGTAAACCTGTCATAAGAAACTTGTCCGAACTGACAAGATTGCAGTGAAACGTGCGAACGGCTAAAATCTCCGGATCGAGAGGAGGCGTCTCGCAAGTTAGGCTTCAGAGCTCTGCGCTTTCGATCTTTACAATTTCACGTTTGGCGCCGTCTTAGTGGAGGACGGCGGAGCCTGAGGATGTTCAGCAAACAAGGCGCCAAAGCTCATATAGTAGATCGGGACCACAGAGCTCCAGCTCTCACAAGACATAGGTGGTTGGCCAAATCGTGAGGGGACACCGTGGTCGGCGTCCTTGTGATTTAAACCCGTAACCTCAAGCTGCCCATAATCTAGTACCACCCTAGTCTAAACCCTAAAGCCCTAAAGCCACCCTAAACCCCCAAACCCGAAGCCCTAAACTCATGCTGCCATTGCCACTTCTCCCGTTAACGCCCGAATCCTAACCCTGAAGCCCTATTTAAACCCAAAACCCACTCTCAACTCTCAAAGACGAGGCTCTACACTGCCCTTGCCACTTCTCCTGTCAGCAAATAGGATACGGTGGATGATATAAATCCTGCATTACCTTAAGGACCCTAAACTATGGGAATTATGGCATATTCCTTACTATGGGCAATGCAGGATTTATATCATCAACCCCAAACCCTAAACCCCCTATAGATCCCTTACAGGAACCCCTTAAAGGTACCCTTATAGATCCCTTTAAAGGAACCCCAGGATTTAGATCATCAACAGTAGGCACCTGGGCCCCCGACTCGGGCAATCCGAGCATCCTCGGCTTCGCGCGTGGCGTCGCCTGCAGTCTTCATTTGAGGGCATATTTTGTGATGGGGGCTTCTATGATACAATTCGGGAGTTTTGCTCATTAACATATATATATATATTTATATAACCTATCTATATTTATTATATGTGTATATATATATATATGTACAACTGTACAACTATAACTATATATATATATACACACACACACATATTATATAGGAGTAACTTAGGCGTCCTTGTAATAAAGACCCTAGACCCGCTTTCCCTGTCTATACACATGAAAAGCTCCATCTGGCAACGGCCGGCTTCACCGATGGATCGAACTATAAACGCGAAAATCTAAGCTTAAAGACTCTGCGAGGTGATGGACGCTTCCTTCCAACAGACCCGAAATCTGCGCGCTCTGATTTTGGCTCCCTTCGCCCCACCCCTGACATTGCAAACTCCAGATCGAAAAACACCATCCTGTCTAGTCGACCCACCAAATCCTGACGCTCTGGAGCCTCCCCTAAACCACACAACGGTTTCAAACACACACACACACACACACACAGACAACTCAATGACACTCTACATCCACCCGTAACGCTACAACTTTATGCGAAGCTCCCCGTGCCATACTCCTTGGAAAAAGGGCTTGGGAGTAAAATGCAGCTAATTGTTATGGGGAGCCCGAAAGAGTATCTGCCAGTTGCATCCGAAACCTCCTCTCGGAAACCCGAAACCTAAACCCCTTCAACCCTAATCCCAAACCTTGATGTTAACCCCACGAGCACCTTCATCCCTAAACCTTAAGACCCCCCAACCTGAAGCCCCTTCAACCCCAGCACCCCAAACTCCTAAACCCCTAAACCCCAAAACCCTGAACCCTAAATCCTGATCCAGCCTGAAGCTTCGATCCTTTCGCGTTCAGCTTGCCGCTGCTTGTCCTGCGGGCAGCACTCTGAGGCTTTTATATACTGGTTAGGGTTGAGGGTTTAGGTATCAGGATTTGGGGTTTAGGGTTTCAGGTGATCCTAAATCTGGTGTTAGGTTGATTAATTAGATAGTCTTTCGAGGCACGCATTTCCACGCGACGCCACAGTGATTCTTAGAGACTTGTGCAGGAAGTGTCTTCGCAGAAGACCTCGGTCTCATTCTTTCTGCCTGACTGCCTTGTGAATGGCAACGTGTCCATCGCTGACAAGCAGGATTCGACGACTTGTCCTGTGGCGGCAGGGCACTTTGCCGAAAAAATGGTTGACTCGGAACGCTTCCTGCTCCGTTCCTCCATTGATCTTGCTTCGAGCCAGACCTCCGCCTCGTAGGGCTTGCAAATGGCCACAACACGGCAGACTTGCCCTGTCCACAAGGCCAGTTCTTCAATTGGCACGGATGGACGTGAAAAAAGAGATCTGCTCCATGCGAGGGCCTCGTTCGCGAGAGCATGCCCTTTGATAGACGAGCGCTTGCAACCACTCTGCGGAAGGCCGCGAGAAACCCGTCAGCTTTCTGGGAGCCTCAAACCCTTTCCTGTTCTGCAGACAGGTCCCCAACCCAAACACGCAGCAGCACTCTCTTAGAGAATTCAGGATGGGGAGGCTTGTGTTTCACGAAAGTGTGTGAAAGTCGCAAATCGCCCTCAACCAAATAACCCGTGCGCTTTCTCGCCGCCTGCATGACAGACGCTTCCAATCCCAAGAACAGGTCGTCCAAAAGTATAGATTCGACCGAATGTACTCTGGGGAACGTGGGCCTAGGTTTAGGTTTAATTACGGGGGACCCCCAAAACTGTAAATCAAGCCATCAACAAGTAGGTAAAGCCTGAACCCTGACTCCTAAGCCTCCAGACCAACTAAGCCCTAAGCTTGAAACTCGAAGGTCCTCAACCCTTAAGCCATACACCCTGAACCCTAAAGCATTCAAAGTCCTGTTTCAATCGTAAAATCGCCAAACCATCCACCCAAACACAATGTAGGCCCTCAAACACACAATACCACTACCTTTAAATCCTAAACCATCTCCCATACCCTGAAGAGTTCTACACCCCAGACCCTAAATCTTGAAACCCGACACCCCAGACCCTAAATAACAAGCATGCCGAACTACACCCTAAGCTCTAAAAGCAGAGCCCCAGTCTGATCTTGTTAAGGGATGTAATCTAAGCTACCATAATAGGGATCTATAAGGGATCCTGTACGGGTATCGGGTTTAGGGTTTAAGTTACCCCCATGGGGGTCCATAGTAAGCAAGATGGTCTCCTTATTATTTATGGTACCTTCAATTACATCCATAAGGATCTATAGCAAACAACATGGTTTCTTTCTTATAGTACCTTAAACCCCAAACCAAAGAAACCCTGAACCCTAAACCCCTGAACCTTGAAGCCTGCAGGACAACCCTAAGCCCCTGAACCCTAAACCCCTAGACCACCTTAAACTAAACCCCTTAACAAGAGCCCAGAAGCTGTCTGACCCACGGCCTCCAGGGTGATAACCCGAGCGTCGAGATCCCGAGCTTCGGTCTCGAGCCTGGGACTAGGGGGTTTGTTTCTTGTTTTTTGAACTCCTTCTCTCCAGGGGAAGGGTTTTTGCTTCTTTTTTTTGAACTCCTTTTCTCCAGGGGAAGGGTTTAGGATTCAGGGTTTATGGTGTCGGGTTTTCGCGTTTAGGGTTTAGGTCTTAGGATTCAGGGTTTTGGATTCAGGATTTTAGGGGTTTTACATGGTGTCGGAGGTTTCAGGGTTAACTTTAGGGTTTTGGGGCTCAATTTTCGTGGTTTTCGGCAATAGCAGGTGAATAGAAGCCTTGCCCCGTTTGGGTTGTTGAAGAACCACCCCTGTACAACTCGCCGAAGGATTTTAGTGCATCCTCGATAAGATTATGCTGCTCACGAAGACTGTGGTCATGGTTATGCTATGACGACTATGGCAATGACAACATAACAGCAACAATGATCTTACAGTGCTGATTATAGAGATGCTGACGGTCATTATGGCGATGATGATTACCATGATGATGGTGATGATCATCATCATGATGATGAACTGAACATGATGACCACGATGGTGATGTCGGTACAAAGACTGCTGATGATTGTGAAGGAGAACATGATGGGAATTGTGCCTGCAAGGAAGTCAGATCTCGGCGGCAATCGACGGGCCGTCGGATTGGAGTCATGATATCTCTGAAACAAAGATCATTGAACAGCAGAATGATACAGTTCTAGTGACCTTGGTCACATGGATAGTGGTACGGATAGTGCCAACAAATTGTTGCGTACTTGCGTCAACTCTTTGCGCCCCACGTGCACTCTTTCGACATTACCTTGCCAATTCAGGTTGGAGATCTTCGGCTAGGGTAGTTAACACTTAGTATCCTGGGTTGTGCTCGCGGGGCCCTCAAAAAAATATGAATAGGTATCCCGATAGGAACCATGATCAGGGCCTAGATCCTCGACCCAAGAGTGGCCTCGGAATGAAAAGGGTACCCTTTTTGGGTCAAAGGGGCTGATAAGGGAACCTGAAGCGTAGAAAAGGGAAGAAGGGCCTACTCTGGGTCCTGGACTAACAATGAGGGCATCAACTTCCGGATCGGCAGGAGATCCCCCAGTCAAGAATCCGAACCGCCCTGAACCCTAAACCCATCTCAACCCTGTACCCTGTGGGAATAAGGGCCTACTCTAGGTCCGCGGATCTGGAGCCCAGGATTCCTCACAGAGACTTGGGGCGCCGGCTTCTCCGCTCGATTCCCCAGATCAACCGGATCGATATCCAGCTCCTCCCATGTGGGTGGCTTTCAAAATCATGGCCCCATTTTTCGGTACCCTGAATATTAGGTGCCGCATGATAATAATGACCCAAAAGGAACCATAATTTTGACAACCACCCATGTGTCATGTAGCTGTCGGGGTCTTACAGAGTTTACTACGGGTTTAAGAGCTACAATGAGTCTAAGCGCTTTGGGCAGAGTGCACTCAAGTTATCGGCCTCAGGGTGTCGTGTCTCAGGGTTGAAACCTCAGGGGTTCAGGGCTTGGTGTTCAAGGCTTAGGGACTTCCCTGCACTGATTCGAGCTCGCCAAAGGTGGCTTGAAGCATGGGCTCGCCCAAGTCCTTCTGCTTCTGCAGGAGCGTCTGATGGTGCCGTTTCAGTTCCTCGCATGCAAAGGAGGTGTTCGTGAGGCTGGGGCAAAACACCATACCCAAGAAGTGTGAAAACCTCATCTCACCTTCTCTAGAACCATTCTGTACAGGCCGCGGGGGTCTTTGTGCCTCAATTGCTTGAAAAGTGGACTTTGACGACGCTGAGCGACACTTTCGTGTCCAGGGTTCACATGGCTTCGCAGCCAGAAAACTTCGTCACCTTACTAGAGGGGCCTAAATGATTGGTACGCGGTTAGAAGGGCATCGTAGTTTTCAGTACGTACGTAGGTTCTACGGGGTTTGGAGAGGTATACCATTGCTGTTCACGCAGACTCAGACCGTTGTATGACCCGGAAGTCTTAAACCCTAGACCTCCAGAGTATGGCACATTCGACGGCACATGTGATCCGAAACCCTGAACCCTAAACCCCTTATAGACACCTTTTAGGAACCCTTCTAATGATCCCTTGGAGGAACCCTTGAAGGAGCCCCTCATCGATCCCTTTATCCCTTTCAGGAACGCTAAACCCCGAAAGCGACGCTCTAAACCCTAAACCTTTTCCCCTGGACCCTAAACCTGAAACCCTAAACCTTAAACCCTAGACCCTAAACCCTAGGACCCTAGGACCCTAAACCTTAAGCCCTAAAACTCTAGAGCCCAACTCCCCAAATCGAGGCTCATTCAACTTGTTGGTGAGCTCAGAGATCTTCGACTCCCTGCTTTGCCCCTCCTCAGAAACGCCGAAGGCTTTGGGGCTTTTCGCGGGGTTCGGGGGTTTAGGGTTTACTGGTTTATGGTGTAGGGGTTTAGGATTTCGGGTTTAGGGGTTTAGCAGTTCAGGAGTTTCGGGTTTAGGGGTTTAGGGGTTCAGGGGTTTAGGGTCTGTGAGGGTTTGGGGTTTGTGTGGGTTTAGGGTCTGTGAGGGTTTAGGCTTTTAGGGTTTAATTAAGACAAATGCCGTAAATCAGAATTAGGATGCATGATATGATTTAGGGAATATGCAGGATTAACGAAAACATATTCCTTCATTCAGGGAGATTGGCTTTGGAGTTTAATTCGTGTTGAAGGTTTCCGCTGCTCGTAAGCCCCCAGCTGAGATGTAGCCATCTTCTCCTGGCATTCAGGGGCATCAAAGGTAGTTTCGGGCTTATGCGGCCTAAGATAGTGGCCTCAATTAATAATTTCCAATCAGTATAGGTAATTATAAGGGCCCCTATATTGGGTTATTTTTGCTGCGAAGGGTTTAGGGATTCAGGGTCTCGAGGTATGAGTTTTAGATTTTAGGGAGGGCCATACTTGCTTAAGATGCGGCTGTGAGCACACAGGAACCGACGCTGGAAAGTGTGTTTTGCTTCGAGGGCCGGTTCGAGGACCCTCATGCCCCCTAGACCCAAGAGTAACCTATGAATAAAAAGGGTGCCCTTTCTGGTTTAAAGGGGGTTATAAGAGAACCTAAATCTTAAAACAAAAAAGGAATAAGGGCCTACTCTGGGTCCTAGTCCCACATCGTCTTTAGAACCCTGAAACCTATAGTCCTACGCTGGGCAAGTGTTGAACCCTCCCATCCACCAAGGCCTTCAATCTACGCTTACGGTTCAGCGTTGGGTTTCAGGAAACCTAAAACCCTAAACCCTAAAACTCCAAACCTAAACTATAAAAACTCCAAACCTAAACACTGAACTATAAAAACAACTCCAAATCTAAACCCTAAACAATAAAAAATCAGAAACCTAAACCCTAAACTATAAAAAACTCCAAACCTAAACCCTAAACTATAAATAACTCCAAACCTAAACCCAAAACTCTAAAACAACTCCAAACATAAACCCAAAATCCCAAACTCCGAAAGCTCCGTAGGCAGTCCTTTGCTCGGGAGGTTTGGCTGCTAGGTTTGACTTGCGATCGACATTTGTGGCAAAGCAACGAACATGATATAGGCTATATATAGGGGCCTTGGCGATAATTAGAATAGGGTTCCTCTTAAAGCGTTCTAGATTCTAGATAATCAAGGGTTACGACAAGGGATACCATAAGGGTTCTATATTTTGTAGAGGCCTTTAAAATCAGAATGGGCTATTTGGGTTACCGACTGAGACCTGCAAGTGGTTCACAGCCGCACGAACAAGACCACCCCCCCAAGCAACTTTCTGTCGAACCAAGGAAGGTGGACCTTGCTGCACCCGACGGCCAATTACCTGCCGAAAGTGTCGGATGCACTAGGGGGGAGTCTCAGAAGTTCTGCAGAAGATTCACATTCCTCATTGCCTGTGCCTTGCTTTGTGTCCAGTATACTCTCACAGATCTGGTTTCGCGCTCTCCATCCCCCTCCCTGTCTTTGTCTTCACGACAGTACATATAAACAACATGTACACCGAGAGAGAGACAGAGAGAGAGAGAGAGAGCGAGAGAGATGGAAAGAGTATGCATTGAAAAGTTGAAGCATCCTCTCGATACTCTCACGGCTTCTGGATTGGTGCCGTTCCCTGCGAAATCGGATGCTTGGGGATGCTATGGGATTCAGAATCCGGTGCCGAATTTTGGATATGGCCATCTTGCAACTTTGGGCTGTTCCAAATAATGTCTCATCGCAGCATCTTCGGCTTTGGATTGGCAATAGAGCTTGGGAACGATGGAGTATCTAGGTTCTAGATGTGTCACAAGGTTGTGCATGGTCAGAGCAAAGATCCCTTCTTTGCCTGTCTTGTTGCCGTAACTACGGGATCCTAATCCTGAAGCTGGCCTGGCCTATCCAAAAAGAAGCCACACTGCGGGCTTTAGGAACCTGCAGCCACCCGTGACATGTGTGGTCTCATACCCTGGCTCGAACCCGATACCTGGTAGCACTGGGAGCCATACTTCGAACTCCAAACCGCGCATCTGTAAGTGTTAAGCCCCCTGGGCAGCAACTGCTTCGGATTCACAGTGAGGGATGTAGCTGTGAAAATAATCGCACGCATCCGAAGGCTAAATATTGCTTGACAAACGCGCAGGAAACGTACATGCGCAAACACTCCACAGTCTGAGTCGCCATCGCCATTTCATGCTGCTGGGAGTAGACCAAAAGCCCGCAACCCTACCACGAAAATCATATTAAACGACACTTTAAGCCTTGACACAACCCCGCAGCCCTAAAAGTGAAACTTTTCATACACGATCATAGAACCTTAAAGTAGTACAGGGACGCTTCTAGAACCCTTTACTTTACAGCAGGAAGCCCTTGTAGGAACCTTGGGTCTCTAAAGCAATGAAGGAACGCACCAGGAACCTTCAGAGAACCCCTGACAGAACCAGAACCTTAGCCAGGGTTTAGGGTTTAGGGTTTCGGGTTTAGGGTTTAGGGTTTCGGGTTTAGGGTTTCGGGTTTAGGGTTTAGGGTTTAGGGTTTAGGGTTTAGGGAACCTAAAACCTAAATCGCCTAAACCCTAAGAACCCTTAAAGAACCCTTCAAGGAAGCCTTCGCCTTTACAGGAGCCCTTGAAGGAGCCTCTACGGGGGTACGCTTTACCGAACCCTGGAGGCCCCTAAGAACCCGTCAAGAACCCTAAACTCTGCGCTGCCCTACACCCCAAATCCTAAACCCTACCTTAAGCCGGAATAACCTATATAAAGAAATCAGAACAAGGAACCCCAAAAAGGTAGGTTATTCCGGCTTAAGGTAAACCCCTCAACCCTAAACCCCAAACCCCTGAACCCCTAAACCCTAAACCCCAAACCCACTAACCCCCAACCCCCGAACCCCTAAACCCACTAAGCCCCTGCACCCTAAACCCCGAAACCCTAAACCCCGAAACCCCAACACCTGAACCCCTAAACCCTAAACCCCAATAGCCTAAACCCTTTAACCCCCAACCCATGAACCCCCAAGCCCCCAAATCCCAAACCCTACACCCCTATAGCCTGAACCCTAAACCCCTAAGCCCCCAAATCCCAAACCCTAAACCCCTATAGCCTAAACCCAAAACCCCTTAAGCCTAAACCCAAAACCCCTTAAGCCTAAACCCAAAACCCCTGAAGCCTAAACCCAAAACCCCTTAAGCCTAAACCCTAAACCCCCGAAACCCCTAAACCAATGAAGCCCCCAAATCCCTCAATCCCCGAAACCCCTAAACCCTTTAAAGGGATCCCCTGCAAAGGCAGCGCGCCTGCAGCTCCCGGGCTTCTTCCAGGTTCCGATCGATGTCCTCCTGGACCTGCAAGGACACCAGGGTTTGGGGTTTGGGGTTTAGGGTTGAGGGCTTAGGGTTTGGGGTTTGGGGTTTAGGGTTGAGGGTTTAGGGTTTAGGGTCTAGGGCCTACCAGCAAGGGCCCTTTAATAGAGCCCTTATGGTCCTTGCCGGTGGGTATTTAGGGGTATAATGCAGGGCAGTTGGGGGGGGGGGGGGTCTAGGTAATGCAAGGACTCAGAGTGCAGGGCTTATGGGGTTTGGGGTCATTTGTCGCTTCTACCCTGCTTGCCGTCAGGGTGTCAGGGTATAAAGAGGGCTTAGCATGAAAGGCTTGGGGTTTAAGGGGGCTGAAAGGGTTTAAGGGTTTGGGTTTAGGGTTTAGGGTTTAGGGTTTAGGGTTTAGGGTTTAGGGTTTAGGGTTTAGGGGTTTAGGGTTTAGGGTTTAGGGGTTAGGGTTTGTTTTAGGGACTGAAGGGCTTAGAGGGCTGCAGACACCATAAAGCAAAGCTTAAGAGGGTCTATGCGCTTCAAGGATTTGGTTAGAGTCTCAAGGGTTTAAAGGGCTTTATAGAAGGATAGGTTAAGGGCTTTTTAAGTTCGGGGCTTCCAGGGCTTGTTGGCTCATTGGGTTGTATGTTAGGGTTTGATAGGGTTTATAAGTTTATAAGGGTTCAGGGTTCAGGAACTGCTTTATAATGAAGCAAGGTTTATGGCTTGGGACGTTACGAGGCTACGGGCTACGGGTGCAGGGTTTATCACTCTAGGGCTGTTATGCCTGTGGGTTTAGATTTTTGCGGTTTAGCACTGAAGGTTGCGCGCACGCACATTGCACAGGTCGCGGCTGATGGAAACTCCGGTAAAATAGGGAGATCAATGCGGTTCTACCACACTCTAGAAGCCCTTGACCCGAAACCCTAAACCTCATAATCCTTAAACCCTACCTAGACCCCCCAACTACCCCCAAATATAGGTCCTGGTATAACCCAACTCCATAAACCGTGGCCCTGTCTGAAGTCTGGGAGCATCGACCGCCGCAGTAATATAGGGGCCTTGATAATGAGAATAGGGTTTTGGGGTATATGATACCATATTCCTATAATAAATAAGGAACCCCAAAAATAGCAGAGGAAATCTCTAAGGCCCCAAGACTAAACCTGCATGGCCTGTCGTTTCCGATCAGCAAGACCCGGTGTGTTGGCCTGGGACCTGTGCCGTGGGAGGCGGGGGGGGATGGGCGGAGCGCCTTGAGTTGGATTGTGCTGTTGGGGCCCTTGAAAGTATATTTATGAATAGGTATCTCTATATCGGTGGTTGTCAAAATTATGGTCCCTTTTGTGGTCCCTATATCATACGGCACCTAATATTTAGGGACCCAATTAGGGACCATAATTTTGATAACCACCCATTTATGAATAGGTATCTCTATATAGGAGCCATGCAGGAAATTTAACAGTTTCCAAGGTGCCACCGTTAGCTTTGAATTGCAAGCTCTGCAAGGTCCGAGCATCCAGGCCCGAAGCAAAACTGTGGATTTGGGTCTGAAGTTTGGGCAAGATGGCTCATTCCACCCTTCTGCAAAGGAAGTATGTGCCCTCCCAACGCAGAGACAACCCGCGCACTAACTCGCGAGGGGCACCATCTAATAAACTGAAGCCAACACTCTCGAGCTTTGCCAAGTCTGAAAAGTGTCGGGTACTTCTTGGGAAGTCAGAGGCAGTACACATGAACAATCACCCTAAGCCCTAAACTCCAAAGGATCCAAAGTACTCAGATATATGGGAGACCGTAGGGCCTCTATATCAGGAATCCTTATATTATTAATAATAATCATAACCATGCAGTATTAATAGTAATAAGAGTAATGTAGTATAGTATTGTATAATATAGTACAGTAATATTGTACAGTATAAGCAAAATATAGTATAATATAGTATATTATTGTGTTTGGGAAAGCATCCAGAAAAGCACCTTGGACCCTTGCGGAACTCCACCTCGACCAACCGTATCCATGTCTTCTATCCGACTGGCTTGCTTCGCTCACGCAAGTTTTGGTACCGCAACCATGAATGCGAAATGACGGATGTGTTGTCAGTTGTATTCATAAACAGGATGATGTTCTGGGGTTCTTCACATGCAGCAGGTGCCGAATTCCGGCTGTGAGTGTACAATTATACGGCTTATTTTGAGACTTGGTGAATATGTACATATTTTGGGTTTCATTACGGGGTTATATGCAAACAAAATTTGAGAATACCTGTATCGACAATGCCCTCGACCCACCACTCCATTGAGCCATCCCTCACAAGCCTGACAAACAAAACGACGCGCACCAACAAGCAAGAAGGAACCTGGCCAAAACCCTATGACTCGACCCTAAACCAATACAGCCTAAACCCTAAACCCTAAATCATACACCCTAAACCCTAGTCCCCTATCCCTAAGACTCCCAAGCCCCCAAGAACCCCAGTCTCTCGCTTTTCCCAAGAGGCCTGAGCATCGCTGCCTTGGTCTCCTGTGCCGCGAAGCAGGTTTAAACTGGCCCTAGGGATCTAAGGACAGGGATCCTTAAAGGGTTCGTTAAAAGGGATCTATAAGGGTACCTTTAAGGGGTTCCTTCCAGAGATCTATGGGGCTTTAGGGTTTAGGTTGATGATATAAATCCGGCATTACCCATAATAGGAATATACCATGACTCCCTTAGTTTAGGGTCCTGAAGGTAATGCAGGATTTATACCATCAACCGAAGGAGGTGGCTGTCAAAATTATGGCCCTTTTCCAAGTACCCGAAATATTAGGTGCCGTAGTATATTAGGGACCCTAATTTTGATAACCACTCATATATTAAGGCCTTTGGGCCCAAAGACCATAATATATAAGGGTGGGTTGGTGTTACGGAAAGTAGTTAAGTTACCACAATATGGATCTATAGTAAATCGTATGGGTTATTTCTTATGGTTGCCGTTAGGCCTGCTTTGGCCTCTAAAGTCCATAAATGCTACCTACTTTGGGCCATTTGGAGTCTTAGGGAAGGAAATGAAGCCAAGTTACTATAAGAGGGATCTATAGCAAACAATTTGGTTTCCATATCATGCTAACTTGAAATTAAACCCCTTACACTAAGCCCCCAACAGTTGGAAAGCGGACGAAGGAGACTTAGTGCTGGCATTCCCTATTCGTATATTTACTTGCACTGCAGGATTGAGGCTATTGGGTTTCCAACTGTTGGGCTCCTACTGAAACAAGAACCCAATTGAAGATCTCGGGTTTAGGCGACTGGGCCTCACACAAACATCCTGGCCCGAATGCGTCGACAAGGTTTGACGCCTCTTTTAAGCTGAAGTTGCCATAGCGTGTGAGCGAGTGTCAAGCATGGCATTCATAGAGTTAACATTCAGTTAAACCGTTCGCTCTCAAACCTCTAACCTACACCCCCTGTTTCTTCAAGATGTCAAACCTTAAGGACGACATGAACCCTAAAAGGGTTGAAGGTTCATATATCATGCAAAGGTTCATAGTACAAGGGTATAGGGCCCCTACTTATAAGGGTCATCTGGTTCCCAAGGAAGAGTCTGCGAAACCCAACTCAGAGTGAATTTCAGATCTCGAGCCTTGTCCTTCCTTTCCGACCGCAGCTCCTGCAACTCCTGGTCATACCTGGCAAAACGCATGGCGCTAATTCGGGCAGAGCCACGTTTTAGGGTTCAGGGTTCGATGAGTTGGGTCATGATCTTCGGTCTATCTCCTTGTGTTTTTCGAGGCGGCTCCAACACAAACGACAGCCGTCAGCAAAGATCAGAAGCCAAACCAACCTCAAAGCAGGGAGCTTAAATTAGTTAGAGGATATTTCAATACAAGTGTAACGAGCATGTACTTAGGGACCTTTTAGGGGTAATACTGCTATAGGTATTGTGAGCTGAGACCGCAACCCTGCTCCAACACAGGGCTTGCAAAGAAATGTCGGCCTTCGCAGCGCATCCGTCAGCGTCTTCATCTTCGCCGTCGATGCCTTTGCTAGGCGCACAAAGCCCCACTCAGATTGATGTCTGGCTGCTCAGAATAAACCCTAAATCCTAAACCCAAAACCACAAATCCTGAATCCTGAACCCGTTATTGGTTAAGGGTCATAGTCGGGGGAGGGCATGGCGTCAGGAAGCGATTTGGGATGCGGGTCCTTCATTTCTATTGCTTGGGTATCTTAAACCCTATACCTCACACCCTAAACCGCACCCTTTTGGTATCTTAAACTTAAACCCTTGAAACCCTAAATAAACCGCATTCTGTTGGTATCTTAAACCCTTGAAACCCAAAGTTTCAAAACCCTAATTAAAACGCACCTTTTAGGCACAGCCCTGCAAAAGAAGTACCGGAGTTGTCGACTGTCTGGTGCTTACTAGGGAATGGGGGAATGGATCCCTAGAGGAGTCTCTATATCATCCCCAATAATGGTCTCCATAATCCATTCCCCCATTCCCTACCATGAACCAGACAGTCGAATGAAGGGCCTTCATCAATTGAGCAGGGTCTGTGGTCTGTTCGAAAATACATCAATTGCAATACCAAGGGACAAGTATAATTTGAGTTGCTAACATAGGGGCCTCAATAACTAGAATAGGGTTTTGGGGCAGATTCTACTATAACTGTAATAGGTAAGGAACCCCCAAAAAGAACGCCCAAAATCATATTGGTAATTATTGAGGCCCCTATATTACTTCCTGAACGGTCCCAGAGAACGACATCCGAGGCTCCTGTGATCTCGACGTCTTCTCCTTGGCCTCCGCATCTGCTGCGGCGAAGGCATCTCGCTGCGACTTCACCTGCTTTTCCACTGCCGTCGGAGTCTTTAGGGTTTAGGGTTTAGGGCTTCTAGGGCTTAGGGTTTCGGGTTTGGGTTTAGGGCTTAGAATGTAATGTAGGGTTTGGGGTTTCGACTCATCGAACCTATGGCTTTAGGGTAGTTTAATTAAGGTTTCGGATCAGGACAGCCTAAACCCGATAACAGCGAAGTGTCCAAAGCGGGCTCACTCGCACCGACCAAACCCCGGACACACAACACTGTCACATCATGCGCGGCACTTGCCTGGGCCCTACAGCGTGGTGCCTTTGTTTGGCCATCCTTTTTAATGGTGAAAACCTAACCATAAACTAAGCATTCCCAAACAAGATGGTCTAGGAGCTCATGAACACTTTCCACGTTGGATGAGCGATCCGGTATATGAGAGGTTCTCATATTCAGGATCCTCTCTTATTACTCTTATTCCTCGCGACAAGGCCACGAGGTTCCATGGTTTGGAATAACATGGAGAACTCAGCATGCTCGGTTGCAAAGCACGGAGGCGCGCCTCACTGTACAGCCTCTCCGCTGTCAGAAGCTTCTCCTCGGACCAGCTTTTTTTGAGACTTCGTGAATCTTTGGAGCAGAGGCCCGAGAATTTTAGACAGTACTATTATACTATACTATGTTCTACTCTTATAATCATTTATAGAATAGGAACTTAAATGGGCAACGTACGCAGAGCTTAGGGTGTTTCGGTCCGGGCCCTAGAGTTTGGTTTGTTCTTTCTTCTATGTATGTGTTGAGGACTTGCGAAGTGGATGGCCCGAGCCCCAGCGCCCTCAAGGAGGGACGGGTTGAGGCTTCAGGTTTTAGCCAAAACACTCAAAAACCCCAAGTACTGGCCCAAGGCTTCGGCAGTCGGGAAGAGGGGTGTTCGTTCTGCCTTGTCTTTTGCTGGAAAGGCCTTTAGCATTCGGGTTCTTCAGGTTCTCAGGTTCAGGCTTGGATAGGGTGCTGGAGTTTTCGGTCTTGGGGTCTGTGGCTTCGAAATTTCAGACTGGGGCTCGCGGTTGCTAGGCTAGGGGAGGAGTATGAGACGCGAAACGCGAAACCCTTAAACCTCTTACCCAGACCTTCCAAAATCCCTTAATTAAGGAATATACCCCCTAAATTATAGTAGGATCCCTAGTATTATTTAAGGTATATTCCTTAATGAAGTGATTTTGGAAGGTCTGGGTAGGAGCTTGGATTCGAGCGTCCCATCTTCAGGACTCCCCGGCTCTAGCCATCTATGCAAACAAAAGCAGGCATTGGGGGAAGGTGATTATGAAGCTCTGAGTTGCTCTAATTACTATGTCGCCCAAAAAATCATTGGGGAAGGTGATTATATAGCTCTGAATTGCTCTAATTACTATATGTTGCAAAATAATCATTGGGGAAGGTGATTATAGAGCTCTGAGTTGCTCTATTATGTGAGCTTCCCCTAATGTGTCAATGTGCCGGCTGAGTCTTTCCTACAGGACTCAATTGCCAATTCTGTCGCAACAGAGACCCGAGCCCTAAACGACGAACCTACACACCTAAATCTCAAACCCTAAACCCGAACCCTCAGACCCTAAATCGTCAAGCTCAATGCCTAAACCCTCGACACAAACTAAGGGTATACTGCAGTAGGGTCCCTTGAAGGGCTCCTTGAAGACGTGGGGGTCCACATTGGGCCGAGCTGACTGAAGGTCCGACAGCTGCCTCGTACAAACTGAGCACAGTACGCTTTGTTTTAAGGGTTTGGTTGACGGGTTTAGGATTTACAGTTTAGGGTTTAAGTTTAAATTCTATATATGGGTTCAAGGTATAATCCTTTTATGCGTGCTGAACCCGGACTCCCAAGTCTGTCTAGAGTATAGATAGAGTTTAGGGTTGAGCGTTTGCCCCAATCGTGGGTATAGAAGTGCTTTCAACAGCACCCTCAGCACGTACATAAGCGCTCCAGAGTTACGCTTCAGGGAATTGGGGTTCGGGGAACCGTACGGGGAAGGAACGTATCGATGAAATGAAACAGAGATGCAACTACCCCGGAAATAGTAGAGAAGACAACCCCCGACCTGAAACTAGGCCACCCGACAAGCCCGAAAGCCACCCCAACTGTAAGACCCAGCATAGACCCGGATCAATGAACCTCTTTGTTATTGTCGTCAACGATGATAATGGGGAGCCTCGTGCTAAGGCCTGTTACAGACATGGGGTGTAGCAACCAGGTTCCTCCTGACTGGCATCCTCATAATACAACTCCAATCACGCACTCACCAAAGCTCCCAAGGGGCCCTACATACAACAATCAGATTCCCGGATATCATACAAGGGCCTGAATAGTTAGAATACAGACGAATGGCAGCATACTCGCTATTAAACTTCTGATACCGATTAGCCCGATCTTGGATAGCCCAAACTTGGAGGATCATGGGACTTAGCAACTAGGGCTATAGATAAGATAACCATCACTTATAACTTCAAGTAAGGCCATACTTACTAAGTCCCATGATCCTCCAAGAAGGCCATCGGAGCACCTCGGATTGGGCGTGGAGGACCTGGCCTGGAGATGGTTTGGTGCAAGCTCTCACACTTCTGGGCATTGGCCGCCAGCGCCTGGGTGGCTTAGGGGTAGGGGTCCCTAAGCCCTAAACTACATAAGGGTTCAAGGTTTAGGGGTTTTAGGTTGTGGGGTCTATTGCGGGTTCAGGGGTCCGAGGACGGATTCAGTGCAGGTTTCGGGCTGAGGGGCTGCAAGGCTGAAGGGTGTAAGCCGTTAGGAGTTGAAAGGGTTTAGGTTAGGGATGAGGGTTTAGGATTTATGTAGGGTTTAGGGTTTAGGATTTAGGGTTTAGGGTTTTGGGTTGAGGGTTTAGGATTTAGGGTTTAGGGTTTAGGATTTAGGGTTTAGGGTTGAGGGTTTAGGAGTTGAGGGTTCAGGGCTCCGGGGTCGAGACTTGAATAATCCGGTATATTTGCTTCAAGGTTTCAGGGTAAAGGCCGGGAGTCCCGAGCACCCACCCCGACGAGATAGAAGCCCTGAAAGCCCCCGATATACCCAAGAACCCAAAAGCCATCATCCTCAACTAGCAACACCAAAAAAGTCTACTGTAAGAAGACCGGTTCTCCGCTTTACATAATCAAACAATTCTTTCAAACCCAAAACCCTAAATCCTACACGCACACACACGCACTCTCTCTCTCTCTCTCTCTCTGGTTACCCTAACCCTGAAATCCTAAACCCTAAAGCCAATGTCCAACTCCGAAGAATCGAAGATCCGACGTCCCTCGGCCCCCGACCTCGCGGGCTGCGCGGAAGGAGTCGAAGGCGTGATCGAAGGCCTTGAAGTCCAGCCCCGGAAGCTCCTCCGTGCGGGGCTTTAGGGTTTAAGGTTTAGGGTTTTGGGGAAGGGCTTTAGGTTTTTGGGGAAGGAGTTTAGGGTTTAGGATTTTGGGGAAGCTTAGGGTTTCGGGGAAGGGGTTTAAGGTTTAGGGTTTCGGGGAAGGAGTTTAGGGTTTAGGGTTTCGGGGAAGGAGTTTAGGGTTTAGGGTTTTGGGGAAGGAGTCCGCCGACCCTGGCGGCGTGTTGGATGGGTCTCGATGGGTTTGGAGGTGTTAACCTCCCTTTTCCCTCCTCCCCAACCAAAATCCCGCACACCGGGCGCCCCCTGGAAGGGGGGGGGGGTACCCCATGGCTGTTTGCAAGCAGCACCCAACCCCCAAAACCATCACACCCGCAGCCCATTGGGTTCAAATCAGTTCACTGTAGGAGACCATCAATTTTTTTCGCCTCCCCTCCCCTCCCCCCTCCCTCCCCCCCTCCCCCCCCTTCCCCCCTCCCCCTCCCGTTTGAGGGGGCTGAAGTTGGAGGGTCAGGGTTCAGTGTGTAGGGGTTGAGGGTTTAAGGTCGGGGTTTAGGGTTGCGGGGTAGGGTTTGGGGTTTAGGGTTTAAGGTTCAACCTTCGGGGCCAAGAAGTGGCTTCGTGTAAGCCGTGGCCCCAAACTGCTTCCCACATCCCTGGTCCCCACATAGCTCCTGTACAGATGCAGTCGGCTTCTGCTTTGTCGCCCACGGGGTCGGCGGCTTGAGCCGGAGGCTCTTAAATCGGGCAGCGCTTCGCTGCCCTGTATGGACTGAGCTATGGCTCAGACGAATGAGCTTCGTCTGCGAAGCAGAAGCCACGACCGACAGTGCCGCCGACCCGCCCCGGACCCCGCATCATCGGACCCTGGTTTCTCCCTTGGGCCGCGCGGGCCCGGGCCCGGAGGCGTCTCGGAACGCGCACGCGCTTCGCAGCCATTCCCCACGGCATGGCGGGTTTCGGGGCCGCCGTGGACGACCCCAGGAGGCGAGCCGGCGAGCATCATGAGCACTCGGGCGCCCGCAACCGGCCCCGCGGCGCGAAGTGGGCGCGAAGTGATGATTTCCAAGTTTTTGCGTGGGTTGCGGAAGCCCCAAAAGGGCGCGCATCATCAGCATCAGCGGGGTCCGGCGGAGGGCGGATGCGGGCTACATGGAGGGCCGACGAGGGCTAAGAGCGTAAGATCACCCATAAGTTGTGCACTTCGGGCCTACGTCACACTTTTGTTCCGGTGTCGAGCTGTCGTTGTCTCGGCACCGTCTGGAAATTTTGACCGTGTCTTTCCCGTTCCCCCGCTACATCCGCTGACAACAACTCGCGCTGCCCGCACCTGGGCGCAGCCCCTAGAATTTAATATTACAGAGGTCCCTGAACCTAAGCTTTCAGCCCAATACCCTAAGTTACAAGCTGCGAAATGCGAAAATCCCTTCGTGTAGCTGCCCTAAATGCCGGCCGGAAGCGACCCACATGAACGGCGGAAGCTCCAATCATCTCATCCATGATGATGCTCGACGTTTGCAGGTTGAAGGACTTTAGGCATTTAGGGCCTTCAAGGGAGTTATATAAGGGATTAGGGCTTGACGGTACATTGGAAGATGCGGGTATATACACCATCAACCAAAAACTTCTACGCTGTAGGCAAGACGGTGAAGGGCAGGGTCCACCATGCAAGGTTGAAAGGAGCTTTTTGGGAACGGTGCAGACATTCTCGTCGCAGGTCTGCAGTTGACACCTAAAATCTCCGGACGCTTCTTGCGCGAGGGCCAGTACACACGAGCATTTAGATGCTGAAGATGTCTTTGCGAGCGTGTATGATCTGTTTACTGAGAAGATTAATCTCGGAGGACACTTCCAAGCCTTGGATTCATCCCTCGCCACTGCCTGGCTCTCGCTCGCTTGGGCAAGCCTTTTGCCAGCGCCGCCGCTGGCATGAGTATGTACAAGGTTGCTCCAAGCTCAACGCATTGGATGGCCGGAAGTTCACATAGTCCCGGAATCCTCTGAAATAGCTGAAACTGGTGTCTACCAGTCTCTCCCAAGGTCTAAACCGCCCGCAAGCCCAAGCCGCTCGCACGAGCAGTACGAACACTTCCTAGCCCGAAGCCTTAAGCCCTGAGCCTTAAACCCTAATCCCTACACGCTAAACCCGAAACTCAAGAAGCCCTACTCCCCCTCAGGGCGGAGGTTGCTCGACCTCGGCGGACGAGGTGTTGGATGCATGTTTTACGTTCATGTATGCTCAGGGTTTAAGGTTTAGGGTGTGGGGGCTTCAAGGTGTGTATACTGTGTGCGCGCGGTTTATGAGCTTCTTTACAAATGCGGAATCGCGCCAACTTTTTACAACTAGGGCTTAGGATTCACCCTCGAAGCCCGCGTTCCTGCTTTTTGCTTGCATAACCGACCAGATTTTACAGCACACCACAGCTGAGATTGCTTCTCGTCGAGCGGCTGGCACAGGCCGCGAGGACCGACAACCCGACACTAATCCATCTCCAGAAAAAAATCCACGGCTCGCACGATGAGGGTCGCTCGAAGTTGGCAAGAGGGCAGGCCCATGAGGAGTGCCCCGAGATCGGCCAGGCACCGAATATAAAAACCAGTTTTCTGGGGGGTCCTGGAAAGGTGCCAGCATGGCCTGGAAAACCGCGTTATGCTCTTGAGCCCTGGGATTTCGGGAGGCAGCCCAAAACCCCAGACCGAAATGGGCTACTTCCACATCATATACCCTCCCTCTCTCACCGTTCTGATGAAAGGCTCGGCCGGGGCCTCGAATGCAATGTAGTGGAATGCAATGTAATGGAATGTAATGGAATGCAATGGAATGCAGTGGAATGGAATGTAGGGGAATGTAATGTAATGGAATGTAACGGAATGCAATGGAATGTAAAGGACTGTAATGGAATGTAATGGAGTGTAATGCAATGCGCTGCTACATAAAGCAATGTGATGCAATCTACAGCAAACTAATGCAATGTAACGCATCCTAATGCAATGTAGTGCTATGTAACTAGTAACCCCAACTTGTACAATTGCTAGGACGCCCAGTAACCTAGGAATAAAAAGGGCTCCCTTTTTGGTATTGGGTAAACCTGTAAGGAACCTAGGACTACAAAAAGGGAACAAGGGTACTACTGGTCATTTTAGATGAGAATCCCAATACGAAGTCAACTAATACATACGTGTTTTCGCCGTCTCGGTTGAGGGCTAAGTTAGAGTAGTTGGCGTTTGACTTTTGGGGTTGGAGACTGGCGACTCCATACTTTTAATCCCAGGATCTGGGTTTAGATTCGAGGTTTGGGAAGGTGTCCTCGTTTCACCTCAGATCGAAGGAAACTCTCGGCTGCTATACCCATAGGCCATATAGGCTCCATGGTGGTTCCTTGTTGGGATTACCGAAAAAATCCACAAAAAGGAACTGCAATGGGGCGAGCCTGTGGGTAGATACACTACAAAGTCGATCGAAGGCCTATAGACTTCAAACTCCGGTTCTACAGCAATCATGGTAGAGCTGAGTTGTGCATTGGACATTGTGAAGGCACCGGTTTGGGATGTGTCTTCTCGATATCTGTCGGCACCCTTTCGCAGACATCTTCGCGAATAAGGGTGTTGGGGTATATGATACTATGACCATAATATAGCTAATTATTAAGGCCACTATATTACATATTCGTAAGACCTGTGGAAATCCTTGTAGATTCTAGAAATCTGGCGCACCTTGTCGACCTGTCAGCCTTCGGTTTGGTCTCGGTGTTGATTTGGCGGTTTCCCAAAATTTCATATGGATGGTTGTCAAAATTATTGTCCCTTTTTGGGTCCTTATCATAGTACGGTACCTAATATTTAGGGTACCCAAAAAAAGGGCCACAGTTTAGGGTCTGCCTTGGGATGCTCCTAGAATTCAGCAGCCCAATACCCCTTAACTAAGGGGGTTATTTTAAGGGATCTATTCGCGATCTGTAGGGTTTAGGGTTTAGGGACTCCAATATGTTTAGGGTTTCTGAATAGGAGGCGTTGCGATATGGATCCTACTATGTGGTGCCGACAAGACATTCTGGAACAGGAAGCCCGGATGGGCCCAAAGCTAGATTATACTGCCTTTAATAACCCCTGGGGGTTTGAATCTAGCAGGAATGAAAAAGCAAACTCAATATTCAAGTTACATAACATCCTTTCAATAAGGCAAACTTGATAAACAAAAATTCAACTGGACCACCCTGAGAAGCCACCCTAAACCCTAAGCCCTTTGAGTCCAGGGCAATTTGGAAACAATCGCAAGCTGGTAAGCCATGTCGTCGGGGACTAGCCTGGCAATGTAGGAACTTGATTAAGCTCGGGCTCGAGGATTTTGGGAGCTCGGGGCTTGGGGGGGGGAAAGGCTCTGCAGAAAGTTCCCTAAGGCTCTCTGAAGTACCATTATAGTAGGTATTTGGGCTCCAAAAGTATATACTAATGTAGGACCTTGATTAAGAAACCCTGGGCCTAGAACCCCAAACTAGTAGGACTCATATAAGGAATCCTAATAAAGGCCCAAGGTTTCTTCATCAGGTTCTTACATTATCTGGGTTTCAGCTTCAGCTGAGGTTCAGGATTTCGGAGTTCATTTAGATTACGTTCATTACGGTTGATGATATAAATCCTGCATTACCTTAATGGCCCTAGACTATGGGAGTTATGGTATATTCCTTATTATGGGTGATGCAGGATCTATAACATCAACAGTAGGAAAACGCCTTGCTCTGAGTATTTCCCTCTGATGTTAACTTAGTTATCTTCTGACTCAAGGAGTATTCGTTGACTGCGGGATATGGGAGTTTCCGGAAATAGGGGACCCTAATATAGTACCCTCAATAGTAGGATCCTTCTTACAAGGACCTAAAAATAAGGTACCCCTATTTTGGGAAACTCTCATATTGGAAGGAAGCTCTAGGAACGTAGAGAGACAAGAGCAATTCCATCTTTCTGTCTTGGAAAAAGTCAACCGAAACCCCGCCCCGGAGTGGCCCTCTTTTTGGGTAAGTTTAGGGTCTAGGGTGTATATACATAAAACCCCTGAGTCCTTTGGCCCCGTGAATTCCGCAAGCCCTAAAACTGCAAACCACACACTCACGACATCCTGCACTACGACCTTTGAGCAGTGCCATGTCCGGAAGACTGTCAATAAAGTCAAGTCTTGCGAGTGATCCGGTTGTGCTTGACGGCTTAGGGCGTGCTGGCTCAGAATATCGAAAATGAAGGCAGAAACGGTCCTCTGTCACAAGACCTGCAGTTTTGCATCGAACGAACGCGACCTCTCACTCAGCAGTGCGCCCACTCTCGCCGCGAACCCTGACCGTAGCTCCAAATCCCTGAACTGAACTCACACTGATCCCGAAACCCTAAACCAGGCACCTTTGTCGATGCTGGCGTCGCAAGATCGCTGTAGCCACTTCCCAACATGAGACCGTGTCCTTGGAAGCTGGGGCTGCATGCATTACAGTCCAAGTTTGGGGTCGCAGTAATGCGCATCACTGTTCCCGTATAATTCAGCTTCTCAGAGCCTGATATTAGGCTCATATTATACTATACTATAATATACTATACTATAATATACTATAATATAATATAATATAATATAATATATAAGGACCGTACATGGGAAGTGAGGGCTGTTCTCAGTTAGCGCTCTGGGGCTCCTCTGGAGTTCCGCTTCGGATAGCCCTCTTACGAGATTCGCCAAAAGCGTCCTGGTCGCGCAGTCTTATAAGGAAACCTCCCAATCCAAACGGATTAGGAGGCATAATGGCTTCGAGAAGCTTGCTCAGTGTGATACGGGCCAAAAGAGAGACCATAATTAACCTCAATGCCCGCCTGACCCTGAAATGTACCAGCTGATTCGGACAGCTCCTTCCCACGACAAGACGAACTCAAGCAATTCGCAATCAGGTTTGAGGGTCTAGGTGTCAAGGTGGTCTCATGTCAATAACTTAGCATTTTGCAATGAATGAGCATGACGAGACGTGCTAGCTTACAGCTTGAAAGCAGAACGCTTCGGTGTGGACTTCAGAGATGTGGCTTGATCCTGTAGTTCTAATGATTAGTAACAGCTCATAATACTTAAGAACATTCAGTCATTGATAACCAGTGCTATAGTATATATGATATATGATTCCTCCTGTAGAAACTCTAAATTCGGTCGCCGGCTATCAAGACCCAATATGCTGCACGACGAAACCCCACTCGATGCATGATATTCTACAATCCTTCGGTTTGGGGTTTAGGTTCTCAGACTTCGTGGAATACCGCTTTGAGAATCAGCCTCATTTCATTTTTGAAAATCTCGGTCAGACCCGATACTGAGCCCAAGCAGTACACTGTTATAGCACAAGATGTCCCAGAACGCCTACTCTTTAACAAACCTTCAACCGTGGGACCTGAACATACTCTGCCCCTAAACCCTACCCAAAGGCCCCATAGTAGTTCCTTGTTGGGAGTACCTTCTAGGATTCTATATACGAACCCTAAAAAGGAAGTATTTTGGGGCCTCTGGGTAAACTCTAAACCGGGGGCCACACCATGGAACTCAGGGCTTGCGCAAACGCGCGATGCTGACCGGGATGCAACGGGACTTGCCTCAGAGGGGGGAAGATGCAAGGTTCCCGAAAATAGGGGACCCCAATATAGCATCCAAAAAAATATAGAATAGGATCCTTATTATACGGGCAAAATCAGGTAACCTAAACCCGAAACACCCTAAAAAGGAGGATCCTTGTTCTATGGGCAAAATAAGGTGCGCTACTTTTCGGAAACTCCCAGATCGGTCTTGGCATTTGCGTTAGTATGGGGAGCCAAGGGCTTCAAAGGATCCCTTTTAGGGTTTAGGGTATAGGATTTAGGGTTTCGAGTTTAGGGTTTAGAATTCTGGTATCTTCTGAAATTTCGACATCGCGAAGGGTTTGCAGCTTGCTGCTATCAGTGAGCATACGGTTGCAAGGTTTCGGATAGATCAGCTGCCGTGGAGAACTAACCCTGACACCCCTGAAAGCTCAACAGCTGAACATATTTTTGATAGTACAGTACAGCAAAGACTTGTAAACGCTGAAACTAAACTATAGTGCATTTTAAAGCCTCAAAACGCTTCAGCACCGAACCGTAAGCACCTGAATTCTGCACTGACCAAGTTTATGCCAAGATATATTAATATGCAATACCAGTATGGTTCGGGGTTTGATGTTTAGAGTTCAGGATTTAAGGTTTAGGACTTTCAGGATTTACGGCCATAGGACTATAGGGGTAAATCTTAACAAGGAGAACAGGACCGCGAGAGAGGCCTGAAAATTTGGAACATGAAGAAAGGAAGACTCATGCTCGACTTACTTCTTTTCCAGGTGTGGCTGTGGGGCTGGGGGTGGTCATTTGTTTCGAGTTTCTGGCTCTCCTGGATAGTAGCGATAAGAGCAGATAGGGAACAAAAGTGTATGTCACTACTTTGTAACCAACAGCCCTAGGCCCCCTGACCCTGATTCTGGATGAGCTCCGGACTGCAAACTCTCAGAGAGTAACCAGGTGCTTGCCGGCCACCTTGGAGATTCTGGAACTTCGCAGCTTCGGGCTTCATTGCTCTGGGGATTCATGGCTGTAGTTCTAGGGTTTAGGACTCCAAGGCTTTAAGGCCTCAGGGCTTTAGGGCTTGGAACTTAAAGCTTTAAGGCTTTAGGGTTTTAGGCCTCTGGGTTGGCTGGTGAAAAGCCCTGGAGCAGGTAGCCCGACACCATCATACAATTACTATAGCATACTATCATATACTATAGTATACGGTATATGACCTGAATTTGCCAAACCCTGAACTCCTAGACCTCACACCCTTGAGATCGAGTGGTTGAAGAAATGTTTTGAGCCGGCGGTTACCCTGCGGTTCCGGGTTTTGGGTTTCAAGCTACACCTGCAGTTATGTGGCATTACGAAAGCAAGGGGTTCAGGGTATAAAAGACTTCGGCTTTAGGCTTGTAGGGTTTAGGGTTGGTTTAGGGTTTAGGGATGTACGGCTTAGGGTTATAGGGTTTACCTGGACCCTAAGGAACCTGCCTTTTTAGGGCTCCCCCAAAATGATTTCTTAATATAAACAGGTAGGTTCCTTAAGCCCGAAGGCTCCTGGACCCTTGTAGTGAGATCCCAAGCCCTAGCCCCCAAAGCCGAAACCCCCCCCCAAAAGGCCCGAGACCCTGTTTGGAGCCTTAGGGAGGGTCCAGGTAGGGTTTAGGGGTGTTCGGGGATTTGGGGCAAGAAGCAGCAGCTGAGGCGGCTGCTCTTGGAGGTGCCTTGGTCCGCCGACCGTGGTTCGGATGCCTGGTTTCGGTTTCGGTTTAGGGTTTAGGGTTTAGGGTTTAATGTTTTTTTTTCATGGTTTAGGGTTTAGTCCGCCGACCCTGGCGGCGTGTTGGATGGGTCTCGATGGGCTTGGAGGTGTTAACCTCCCTTTTTCCCTCCTCCCACACCAAAATCCCGCACAGGGGGGGGGGGGGTACCCCATGGCTGTTTGCAAGGAGCACCCAAGCCCCCAAAAGCACCACACCACAGCCCATTGGGTTCAAATCAGTTCACTTAGGAGACCACCAATTTTTTTTCTACTTTTTCCTGCCTCTCCTCTCCCCCCCTCCCCCCCTCCCCCACCCCTCCCCCGCTCCCCCTGCCCCCCTCTCCCCCCTGCCCGCCTCCCTCCCCCTTCCGCCCCCTTTCCCCCCCTTCCTCTTCAACCTTGGCATCTCCGCTCCAAAGTGCTCCTTGTTCCTACTTCGCGTGATCGTCGCGCAGCCTCGCCGCCTCTTCCCCCCGTTGTGTCTCACAATCTCTTAGAAGCGCACCAGCTTAACCCTGACCCCCAAACCCCAAACCCGAAGACCCTACTATAGGGGCCTTGATGACTAGGATAAGGTTTTGGTGGGGGTATATTACACTATACTTATCATAAGGAACCCCCACACTACTTTAGGAAACTATGGAGGCCCCTACATTAAATCCCAAGAGGGTCCTGAACCGTGGCAGACGGAGGCGCCCGGAGCCGATCCTACATGATCCTACCACAATTAAAAGGTTAAGATGTTCCTGAAACCCTAACCCTAAACGGTTCTAAAGGTGTTGAACATAGGGTTTCGGGACGGTTTAGGTTTCGGGTTTAGGTCCTGCGGTAAGGCTTTGTTTGCACTTCCCATCTTGGCGTCTCCTTCGAGAACTAAACCTACGGGCCTCGCGGACACCAAACGACTTTGCCTGTACAAGTGCATTCGGCTTCTGGTCTGTCGCCCACGGGGTCGGCGGCTTGAGCCGGAGGCTCTTAAATGTTATTTTTCAGGGTTTAGGGTTTAAGCTTTCGGGTTTAGGGTTCGGATGCCTCGCTTTGCAGACATGGGGTGCAAGATGATTGGAGGGTTCTAGGGCCTCTTAGGGCTGAGGGTTTAGGGTTCAGGGTGTTTCTTCTATACTGAACTTAGAACCCTAGCAAAAAATATAATTTTAGCTGTTTCTTAGGGGTTAACATAACCAAAAATTAAAGAATATTTCTAAGTACCCCTAAGGTTTAGGGTTCTGGGCTTTTTTGGTAAGTTGGGTGGATGGCCTTCTTTGTTTCTCTGCCGGCGACGGCTCCCAAATGGGGACAATGTGCCATTGGCATTCAAAGGGTGACATGTTTAGAGTCCAAGGCTATGGGCTTGAGGGTTCAATGATCGTCTCTGCAACCGCATCCCTTAGTATACGAAGTCGGCCCATCTACCGACCCGCACTACTCTGAACCGGACTTATGCGTCACATCAATTGGAGACTTATGTAGGCCGAGAAACCGATGACCCTGACCACTATAACGTTATGCCCTATAGCCCTCGAACCTACACGCCCTAAAACGCTGCAACTCAGGCCCGAAACCACTGTTGTTCAGACCGTTTTCCTACAAGCCTAGGCAGCCTTGAAGTCCTTCCAACCCTACACTCAGCCGTTTGACTTTATGAACGAGAACCCTTCGTTTAGGGTTTAGCAACTTGTGGAATCTCATGTCCCCAACCCCGAAACTAGCTGTAGTTTACAGCCTTACCCGTATGCCTTAGCTTATAAAAAGGATAAGAGGCTTCTGTGCATGTAGAAAACCTCCGGCAACCGCAAGATTTCACACATAAGCTGTCGGGGCGTGAAACTGAAACCCAAGGGCCTTACAGTAATGCTTTAGAAAGGTTTGGTGTACTCTACTGCTGTAATTATAGGCCAACGATATCAAACCTCACGTGGCGCCCTCCCAAACTAAGTCCTCTGAGCACCCGGGCTCCAAGCGTCCACCTCGCCCCTCCGCCTTCAAGGTAGGAGCAGCATGTGTATATATATATATATATATATATATTTATATGTGTGTGTGTACAGTATGTATGTATGTATGTATGTATATAGATATATGTATAAATAAACACACGCGTGCA